AAAAATAATTTTTAAAAACCTACTGAAAAATCACACATCTTACAAATTTTCAAAATATCAATATTTCGAAATGAATATTTTTCAAATTAAAAACTATAGTGTGTACCGATAATAGCCCCGGTTGACGGTAATTAATTTGACAGCATAAAGACAATCGCTAGTTCAAATATTAATATTTCTACTAATTATTTAGTTAAATATAACTATAATTATGAGGTTAAATTTATTTTTAGATTGTGTTAAAATGTCAGTGCTTTATTTTCTAAAAATTTTGTTTTCTCACAATATGTGATTTAAATTACTTAACGAAGTTTATAAAAATATTTTAACACATAAATTAATTATTGATTTATATTATTTCGGAGTTTTTAATAAATATTTTATTATTTAATATGCAATATTTTATCTTTGATACTCTCTAAATTTGAATTAGTAAAAATTTTAACTAATTTAAATTAGCAACTCATTATTTGTGGTGTCGAAAGTGAATTTTATAATGAGACCAATTTTAATATCACAGCATTTCTATTTAACAAAATTCAGATTTTATAGAATTTTTATTTAACTGATCTTGAATAAAGCAGATTTTCTAATACATCGAATTTTCAAATAATACTGTTCTCAATTAGTAAAATTTTACTAATTCTAAAGCAAAAAGTGAGTCACTAATTCAAATTAGTAAACTTTTTTTTACTAATATTCAGATTTAGAGAGTACAGTTTCCATTTAACAGAATTTATATTTAGAAATATTTTCATAAAAAGGTTTTTTTTGGCGAGAAAACATGCGGAGAATATTTACATGTAAAATCACAACAGTCACATGACCTTAACCGAAAAATCATTTTAAAAAATGTCTAATTGATAAAATTTTCATTTGTCCGAAATTACAAATGGCCGAAGAAACAATCAACAGAAAGATTTCGGCGCGATTTTTAAAATCAACAAATCACAATTTTATGGATAATTTTTGATTGGTTCATTTTAAAAATCGCGCCAATAGCTTTCTGTCGATTGTTTGTTCGGTCATTTGCAATTTCGGACAAATGGAAATTCTATCAATTAGAAAAAGTATAAATTATGTAGTATGAAAAATTGGTTTTATGAAAATTCTATAAAATAATAATTCGAACGCAAAGGAAAATTCATCTAAAAGAAAATTCTGTACAATGAAATTCTACCTAATAAAAAAACATTAAAATGGCTATTATGTTAAATGAAAATTCGAGCAAATAAAAATTCTACTCTCTCAATTTAAATTAGTGAAATTTCACTAAATGAATTAATCTGTTTTACCGATAATTGGTAAAACAGATTAACTAATTCATTTAGTGAAAATTAGTGTTTATAACAGTGTTTTTTTATTTTATAAAACTCGACGTACTAGACACTTCTATAGGGTTAAATTAAAGCTTAAATCATACACTTGTAAGACCCTTATACGCAAGATAAAAAAATTTTGAAATTTTGACAAAAATGGGGATAAAGGTCCTAAAAACCGTGTTTTTAAGGTAAGGGTTTTAAGTATTTTTTTCTCCCTGACCTGACATGCCAGAAACTTCTATATAGACTTAAATTAAAGTTTAACCCATCACTGTAAAAAGAAAGGTATTAATTTAATACCGACTTCAGGTACTAAATTGTCATTTGGTTCTATTTTGATACCTAAAATCGGTTCTGTTTTAGTACTTTTTTTTTACAGTGCTTCGCTGTGAAGAGCAAAATTTTAAATGTGGGTCAAAAATGTTAAGAAACTTTTGTACCAACAAAATTTTTAAAACTGTGTGCACTTAGGTTTTTGAGGTCGCTGATTACGAATCTGATGTTACTTTTTCAAAATTCAAAATGGCGAATATATTTTTTCTAAATTCGATGTATTTGCCTGAAACTTGTTATTCGGGGGTTTTCTAGGTCGATGATTACAAATCTGATATTAGTAAATTCTATTGATTTTTAATTTTCCTGTCCGACATTTTGAATTTTGAAAAAGTAACATCAGATTCGTATTCAGCGACCCCGAAAAACCTCTAAGTAACAAAGTTTTAAGTAAATTCTCATGTTTTTTAAGTTTCCTGTCCACCATATTGAATCCGCTATTTTGAATTTTGAAAAACTAACATCAAATTCGAATTCATTGACCATTAAAATCCTCGAGTAACGACGAATTTCAAGTCATTTTCAAAATAGGTCTGAAAAAAAAATTTAAAATATTGAAAAAAATTAGGTTCAAGACACACAAAAAGTTTATTGGGATTATTACCCCCATTTTTTTCAAAATTTTTGTTATCTTGCGCATATGGGTCTTAACCCCTTCGCAGTCAAGGCCAAAATATCATAAGTGGGCCCAAAATGTCAGTAAATTTTTGAATGACCAAAATTTGTGCAAATGTGTATACTATGGTATTTAAGGTCGCTGATTACGATTCCAAAGTCAGATTTTAAAAATTCAAAATGGCGGAGCCAATATGGCGGACGATTTTTCAAAAAAAAGCAAAAATGATTTAAAAATAATTAAAAATTGTTACTCGGGGGTTTTAGGGGTCGCTGATTACGAATTTAAATTCAGATTTCAAAAATTCAAAATGGCCGAGCCAATATGGCGGACGATTTTTCATGAAATGACAAAAATGATTTAAAAATACTTAAAAATTATTACTCAGAGGTTTTGAGGGTTGCTGATTACGAATTTAAATTCAGATTTTAAAAATTCAAAATGGCGGAACCAATATGGCGGACAATTTTTTCAAAAAATGGCAAAAATTATTTAAAAATACTTAAAAATTGTTACTTGGGGGTTTTTGGGGTCGCTGATTACGAATCTAAAGTCAGATTTCAAAAATTCAAAATGGCCGAGCCAATATGGCGGACAATTTTTCAAAAAATGGCAAAAATGATTTAAACATTATTACTCAGGGCTTTTGAGGGTCGCTGATTACGAATCTAAATTCAGATTCCAAAAATTTAAAATGGCGGAACGAATATGGCAGATAATTTTCTAAAAATTTGCAAATTAATTAAAATTACTTAAAATCTGTTACTCAGGGGTTTTGAACGTCGCTCTTTACGATATTCAAGTCAGATTTTGAAAATTCAACATAGCATAGTATGGGTGTGATTATTATTGTATCCATTTTGAATTTTGAAATTTTGTAATTCTGACATCATATTCTGAATCAGCGACCCTAAAAACCCCCAAGTAACGAGTTTCAAGCGAATATGGTCAATTTTCAAAATTTTTGGTCGCCATATTGGATCCGCCATTTTGAATTTTGAAATTTTGTAATTCTGACATCAAATTCGGAATCAGCGACCCTAAAAACCCGCAATTAACAAGTTTCAAGCGAATATGGTCAATTTTCAACATTTTTGGTCGCCATATTGGATCCGCCATTTTGAATTTTGAAATTTTGTAATTCTGACATCAAATTCGGAATCAGCGACCCTAAAAACCCGCAATTAACAAGTTTCAAGCGAATATGGTCAATTTTCAACATTTTTGGTCGCCATATTGGATCCGCCATTTTGAATTTTGAAATTTTGTAATTCTGACATCAAATTCGGAATCAGCAACCCTAAAAACCCACAATTAACGAGTTTCAAGCGAATATGGTCAATTTTCAAAATTTTTGGTCGTCATATTAAATCCACCATTTTGAATTTTGTAAATCTGACATCAAATTCGGAAGCAGCGACCCCAAAAACCCCCGAGCAACAAATTTTAGGCCAATTCCGTATTATTATTGGGCTCAAAATTTATATGCGTGTATACACGTCATCGACACTTTGAGCCCGCACCTATTCCATGACGTGTATACACGTCATCGACACCCAAGGGGTTAAGGTGTACGTTTTAAGATTTAATTTAAGCCTATATAGAAGTTTCTAGCACGTCAGGTTTAGGAGGAAAAAAAACCCTGAAAACCCACAAAATAACACGGTTTGAGACATTGTCCCCACTTTACTCAAAATCCTGACGTGATACGCAATTTTGGATCGTGTTCACACAAAATTACATTGAAAATCACTCTGATATATCTAAAAAAAAAAAACCTTGTAGTAACAAATTAACTTTAATTCTTTGCGGTATAAATTATAATCTCCCCATCAAAGAAACATGTTTTGTGTTTTATACATTTTTTACATATATATATAAAGCTAAAAATTCGATGAAAAGCCTCTCATCTTTTAATGAAATTTTTTTTTTGCTTTTTAATTTAAAATATCTTAATTTTTGTTATTTCATAAAACTCTGTTTAATTCCCCCTTTATACGAGTCTTGGCATTTAATCTCCTCTCTCTTTCTTTCTTTTTATAAGATTATAATGAAATTCAATAGACGTTATACGCTTCGAAATTTTTAAATAAAATTTCATTAAAAGCATGGCAGCTTTTTAATTAGCTATACGCTTATACTGATGTGAATGTTTATCTAGAGGTTCGTGCGCTGTGAGGTTAAAATATATAGAAAGGGTGAAAGAAGATGAAGAGAGGGTGAAGAGGGACAAGAGGGATGGTGGTGGTGGTGGTATATATATCGAGGGTGGGTGTCTGGTCAGAGAAACGGGGTGCGGAGAGGTATGGCGAAGGGTGGCGTTATGCAATCCACTATCCGACCTTCTCCAAAGAATTTATCGTCAGTTTCCTGCGCCTCATTTTCCCATTTTGCCGACAACGATTTAAATTGCGGGGACATGTTATACGGTTCGTCGCTCGTGACATTTGACAATTAGTCTTTCCAAAAACTTCTTCTTTGTCATCATATCAAACCAAGTTGAAAACGAATTCTCTCTTTTTGAAACACTCACGCGATGAAGTTTCTGATTCTCTTTCCTAATAATAATAATAATAATAGAAGGAAATTTTTACCCTTTATAAGATTTGAAATTTTTTTTTCAGATTCGAGTTTTTTTTTTTTTTTTTAAAGAGATATTCTATTATCTAACGAAGTATGTGTGTGGATAAAAGGACGGAGGGACTCGAAGTTACGTTCGATATACTAACCTTGAACGTTGAGTTACACGAGCCGCAGCATCAACCAGGCTTGCACCTTGTCATCTTCACTCAAAACGTCAATGATGAAAATTTTCGACTGATGATTTGGAAAACAGCCGATCACCGGGTGAATTTTGGTCACGTTACGTCGATCATTTCTGCCTAAAATCCTGTTGCGATGATCAAAACGATCCTCGCTATTCATGTCAGTCTTGTTTATAATTATTATTATTGTACATAATTGAAAACAATTTTAATTTTTTCTTTTTTTTTTTTTGTTATCACACTCGAATTCAGTTATTCAATAATAATAATAATATCCTTTTGAGAAGCGGCGGCAGCATATCGACACTTTAAAAATGAACACTGTTTGAATTGAACTAGGCGGATTTTCTTTTTTTTTTTTCTCTCTTCTATTATTTAATCACACGATTTTTTAGAAAGATAAAATTTAAAAATGAGAGAAAGGGAGGAGAAGAAGAAGAAGAAGAAGTAAGAGAGGAAGACAAAGAGAGAGAGAGATATATATATATATGATGGAAGATGTGTGCGAATGATCGGAATGATCAAGCGAATTTTTCTAAGGGGGATGTGTGTATTATTATCGCCCGAGGTAGGCAACCGGACTGACACGACACGGCACTAGCGCCTGATGTTAGGCAGTAAAACTAACGTCGATGAGCTTGCGCAGTATTCGTGTTTCAATCCTAGTAAAAGATAAGAGAGATATATGTATATATAGTGATGAAGGAGGAGTGTCAATTTTATTCTTGTCTTAAGCGGGTTCAAAGGCAAACATAGAAGTTATATATTTAATTTGGTAGCTGGTTTGATAATTTTTCTTTGATTGAGAAAAGGCCTATTTATAGATTTGGCAGTCTATTAACTTATTCGTGAATGACTTTAAATAAATCTGTCATATTTTTTTTTTTTTTTTTTTTTTTTTATATACAGACAAAGAAGAATGTCTAAAATTAAAACACTGGGAATATTTGGATTTTTTTTTTTATATTTTCTCTTTCATTGAATTTGTATTTAAATGTAAACATATTTTTGTTTCTGGGGTTTGCAAAACGAAAGATTGATTATAGATATAATTATGTGTTTTAGACGAATTTTTATTTTTCGAATTAACATTTGTCAGAATTTCTTTTTTTTTTTTTTTTAAAGAATTTTTAGGTATTTTTTATTTGGTGAAATTCTTAAAAATCGCCGAATTTTTATTTGTCCGAAATTGCAAATGGCCGAACAAACAATCGACAAAAAAATTTTGGCGCGATTTTTAAAATCCACCAATCACGATTTTCTTGACAACTTTTGATTAGTGAATTTTAAACATCGCGCCAAAATCATCATTTGCAATTTCGGACAAATAAAAATTCGGCGTCTTTAAGAATTTTGTACGCAATAAAAATTCGTTACATAAGAATTTTGTAAAGTAAAAATTTGTTTAAAAAGAAAACAAAAATTCTCTCAAATGTTAATTCGCAAAATAAAAATTCGCCTAAAAAATAATTGTATTTAATATAAAATTCTTTAAAATGAAAATTTTAACTAATGATCACAATCACAATAATTACATGACCTTAAACTTTACTTATTCACTTACAATCAATCTATATTTACTTGTTTAATATTATTAGTTTACTTTATTTTTATTTGTATATAAATGTGTATGATTAGCTTTTATTGAATATGTCTTGAACTATAATTTAAACAATTAATAAAAGTGTTTTGTTTATTATACTGATATATATGAATCAATAGAAAGTGTATATTATTTTTAGAAAATGATTTATTTGAAAGAATGTCATAAAGAAAATAGGATTCCATTACTTTTGACCCTCCTTTTTCAGGGATCACTTAGAGACCCTTTTCGTATATAATATACATATATATTTTTACTATTTTTTATATAATATGTATACCTATACTTTATATTATACTTAATTATCTCTTATGTACTTTCCTCGTATAAGTTTACCTAATTTTAAAATATTAATAATTACATATGTAAATTTCTTATGATTTAATCATTTTTTTTTTTTATTGATTATTATAATAATTGATTAACAAAAAATATATACAAAAAATTGTGATTTTTACAGAGGAGGAAAATAAATATCAATTTTTATAAAAATTATTTTCAAATTTTGTAAAAATATTTTCAAGTCATATGAACAATAGAGTAAAAACCAAAATTTTCATATAAGAAATACAACCGTCACTTGAGGCTATTTTACTCATCACATGGGGCTATTATACTCAGCGCCAGTTTTTAATCAATAAAATATTAATATTGAAACGTTTAAACTTGACACGTGGTGTTAATATTGTTTGATAGTTTTATTACAGAGGGCGCTAAATGTTATTACCTAATTTTATTATCAGAACGTAGAAAAAAATTCAAATTCATATAATTTTTTTTTTTCAAATTAACATTTAAAAGGATTTTTCTGTCGATTGTTTGTTCGGCTATTTGCAATTTCGGACATATAAAAATTCGACGTTTTAGGAATTCTATCAAATAAAAATTACCAACAAATTTTGTTAAATAAAAATTCTTAAAAAAAAAGAAATTATGACAAATGTTTATTTGAAAAATGAAAAATCGTCTAAAACATCAAAAAAAGTACATCCAGAGAAAAGATTTCTTTGATTTAAAGAGATCAATTTCTTTCGACATTGTTGTCTTTTTCATTCAAAATAAAATTTTCTTTACAAAAAAAGTATCCAAATAAATTTTCTTTGAATGAAAGAAATTTGTGCCTTAAATCAAATAAATTCTAACATTGATATAGGATCAAAGAAACATTTATTTGAATTAAATAAAATATCTCTTTGAAATGAAGATAATTTTTTTATTTTTTTAATCAAATATAATTTGTTTGAAACAAATGAATTTTCTTTGTATCAAAGAAATTGATTTGTTTTTGAATCAAAGAAATCTTTTTTCTGGGTGTAACTTTCATTAATATTTATGTATTTTTTCAAATTAATTTTATAACTTTTTCTGGTAAAGTAACTTAAAAAGTTTGTTAAAAATTATATTGAGTTGTTAACTTAACCTATAAAAAATGTTAATTTTAACAAAATTTTACCTTTTTAATAAATATATGGGGCATTCTATTTTAAAATTATAACCCTAGTAAACAATTGACAATATAAGACATTTTTTAAATAATTATTTCTCCTATTTAATTAAATCAAATTACTTTTGCAATGAGTGGTTTCGAAAGAGAAATTTCTAAACTTTACAATTGTAAAAAAAATTTTTCAAAAAAACATTTAAATAATATAAAAAATTTAGTTTGAAGGTTACACGGAGAAAAATGGAAAAACGAATAAAGTAACTTTTACTACTTTAAAAGTAAAATTGGACCTGTCCGAAGTTTCTGCGCATCTCTGGCAACTTTTACTCGAAAAATAGTAAAATTGACTATTTCTGTAGTAAATTTTACTGTTTCCGTAGTAATTTTTACTATTTCTGAAGTAAATTTTACTATTTTTGGAGTAAAAATTGCCAGAGATGCGCAGAAACTTCGGACAGGTCCAATTTTACTTTTAAAGTAGTAAAAGTTACTTTTTCTTTTTTTCCGTGTAAACTTGTAAATATCTCAAAACACGTTGTCTCCGATTTTGACAAAATCTATGTCAAAAGAAAGCTTAAATATTCTATTTTTTATTTCCGTAAAGTTTATAATGGACATTTTCGAGAATTTCCAGAAATTAATTAAAATTCTCAGACGTTTCGGAGGTTAAAAAGGATTGAAATTTGTATGAATGGAGAACCATTTCTTTAAGAGCGGATTTTGTTTTTTAAATTTAATTTCCATTAACCTTACATTATTACATCACTTGACATTAGAGAAAAAAAATATTGTAAACAATAAATATATTGATCTTTAGCTATTTGCAATTAAAAATTTTTCAAATTTAAAAAAATTATTAAGATTAAAATTGAAGTTTTAAAATTTATTTATTTAAAAATTTCGTAAAAACAAATGCCGCTGTATTTGAACAGAGGTTCTCTATTCATGCAAATTTCAACCCTTTTTAACGTTTGAAACGTCTGAGAATTTTAATTAATTTCTCGAAATCCTCGAAAATGTCCATTATAAACTTTACGGAAATAAAAAATAGAATATTTAAGCTTTCTTTTGACACAGATTTTGTCAAAATCGGAAACAACGTGTTTTGAGATATTTATAAGTTTAACCTTCAAACTAAATTTTTTATGCTAATTAAACGTTTTTTTAAAAAATTTTTTTTACAATAATAAAGTTTAGAAATTTCTCTTTCGAAACCACTCATTGCAAAAGTAATTTGATTTAATTAAATGGGAGAAATAATTATTTAAAAAATGTCTTATATTGTCAATTGTTTACTAGGGGTATAATTTTAAAATAGAATGCCCCATATAAATTTTAGTATCATTAGTTTTTTTAGCATGCTACAACTTGAAAACACTTTTATAAAATTTGATATTTATTTTCTTTCTGTGTATCAATATATATTTAAGAAAACGATTTGTATTTGAATTGAATTTGAAATATTTAAATATATATGATTTATAAGATTTATAAAAAATAAATTTGGTATAAATTTAATTAATTGAAACATAATATTTAAGTTTAAATCAAAAGTAACAATTACTAACTATAAATCTGAAGTTTTTATTCAAATTACAATTAGCCAATAATCACACTAGCACGATTAATTTGATTTTGTCTCTTTAATTATATTTTACTCCCATATCGTGTGACAACGGAAACCATTATTTATCAGATACACATGTTTTTCTAACAGTATTTCTTTTTTACGATGGGCGGGGTTGAAAGAGTTAGAGTGAGGGATAATAATAGCAAAGCTCAATAACAACAATTTTATACATTAATAAAATGTATCATTTGTTTTTATTCTACAATTTTTATTTATTTTTTTTTGTATAGAACAAAATATTTTTTAATATTTATTAATTTTTTTAAAAATGATTAATTTTTTTTTTTTAATTTTAATTGAAAATTTGTTTAATTTTAATGAGAGGGAAAATTGGCAGGATAAATATTTTCTTGCATTCGTTCATTAGTAAACCACAGTTTAAAATAAACTCGTTTTATAATCTCTATTATGCTTCGTTTAGCACAAATGCCACAATGTGAGTTTTCATTTGCTGTATATATTTAATATTTTAATCTAGATTTTAAATTTAATTTCAGAATGAGACTTTCTTCATGCTACATATACAAAGGTTTTTTTTTTTTCATAAAAATATTTGCATTGACGTTAATACAAAAATAATCCTTATTAAAGTCGACAAAAATGGTCCCTTTTCATGTGGACGTCCACATATTTATATATAATATACAAGACTTTACTCTTCCAAAAAAAAAAGGTTTTTTTTAATCTTTTGCGGTAAAAGAGAATTATAAATACTACAGTATGTATAACTATATTTCTTTTGTATATATATATAGAATTATAAAAATAATTTTTCAAATTTATTGTTTCAGTTTAATGGAAGTACCCACAGAGGTAAAAGCCGAGAAGCTTGCGGTGGGGTTGGTCGAAATGTGGCTTCAGCTTTGGTTCATCTTGGTTTATATGATACCAAATTTATATCAGTCATAGGAAATGATGAAGCTGGCAGGGCAATTATCAAAAGTTTCAGGGGAGCTGGCGATGCTTTGCAAATTTTGTCTAATAAATCAACTGCAAGGTTAGATCATCATTAAACCTTATTGTTTATCATATATACATCAGCTCATGTTATGAGACTAGAAAATTTATTTTTACATTTATATATAGGATGTACGCCAAATTCAAAGTCCATCTGCAAATTTTATCTCTGATTTTTTGAAACTTTTTTTTTTTTTCTTTTAGTACTAATTAAGATTAGCTTTCATCATTTTTTTTCAAATTGTTTTAGCCTGCCTTCGAGATATAAATTTTTCAAAATTTCACAATTTTAATGACTTTTTCTTTTTGAATGCTGATAACTTCCTTAAAAATGCATCAATTTTAAAAGTTTTTTTTTTCAAAATGTGTGTTTTTAAACGTACTTTAAAAAAAAAAATCGAATTTTTTTTCAAATGATATTACTATCAAATTTGTAAGTTTTAAAGATAAAAAGTAATTTTTCTCAATTGATGTATTGATCGATTTTTTTCAAAATTTTTTCAAAAAAACAGCTTCCTTTTACGAAAATTTTAAGCCTAGTCCAATCGTGGGCAAATGATTTTTTCAATATTTTTGGAATTTTTTTAAATTTTCATATTTTTAAAAAAAATTTTTTTTGGTTTTTTTATACTACGTATAAACTACGTACTTTGATGCGCTGATTACGAAAATCATTGTTACAATACTCAAAAATTTGATTTTCGTAATCAGCGCATCAAAATACATCAAAGTACGTAGTATAAAAAAACCAAAAACATTTTTAAAAAAATATGAAAATTTAAAAAAATTCCAAAAATATTGGAAAAATCATTTGCCCACGATTGGACTAGGCTTAAAATTTTCGTAAAAGGAAGCTGTTTTTTTTGAAAAAAAATTTTGAAAAAAATCGATCAATACATCAATTGAGAAAAATTACTTTTTATCTTTAAAACTTACAAATTTGATAGTAATATCATTTGAAAAAAAATAAGATTTTTTTTTTTTTGAAAAGTACGTTTAAAAACACACATTTTGAAAGAAAAACTATTAAAATTGGGAACGCATGATTATGTTCTAAAAATCATTAGTCATAATTTACATTTTATCGAATTTTATTTGTCCTAATTAGTTTTGAGTCGAATTTTTATATATTCGAATTAGTATTTTGCATAATTTTCATCAATCCGATTTTCTATATTGCAGAATTTTTATATAACCGAAAATTCACTCCACAGAATTTTTATTTCTTCGAATTTTTATTTGCTCGAATTTTCATTTAACATAATAGGCATTTTAAAGAATTTTCATTGGGTAGAATTTCATTGAATAGAATTTTCATTCAGATGAATTTTCATTTGTTCGAATTATTATTTGATATAATTTCCATATAATTAATTTTTCATACTACAGAATTTTTACTTAACCGACAAATCATTTAATAGAATTTCTAATTAATAGAATTTACATTTGTCCGAATTTTCAAATGGCCGAACAAACAATCGACAGAAAGATTTCAGCGCGATTTTTAAAATGGAATACATCATAGGTATGAGGCATTCTATACGTGAAATATTCGTTTAAAAATTTTTTTTTTCACTCGGAATATTTTTTGGGGCGCATAATTGAGGAGGTCAATCAAATAACTCGATTCGCGTTCGAAACATCGCCCTTATGGTATTTCGACGCATCAAAAATAGTGAAAAATTAAAATTCAAAATTTTAATTTTTTGAAAACACTATCTTGTAGGGAATAAAAAAACACAACTTTTTTTCCTTATTACTTTTTTTTGTAGAACCAATATTAATTAAATTAAAAATTAAAAACACCAAAAATTTTTTTTTCAAATTTAATTAAATTTTTAAACATTAATCGTTGTTTTAAAGTCAAATGTTAATAAATTAACTTGCAATTTTTTATACAAGTTCATTTGGGTCTGCTGAAACCGAAAAAATCATAAAAAATTTTAAAAATTATTTATTGTTTAATTATTTTTTATTGTGAACTAAATTTTTAAAATAAAATCACAGAAATTTATATTTTAATACAAATAAACAGTGAAGAGTATTAATGATTTTATTATAACTAACTAATGATACTAGATTTTATTTTATTATTTTAATAATAAATTGTTTATTTCATTATTTTTATTAACTATTTTAATAATAATTGTGACATTTTATTATTTTATTAATATCAAGCTTGACCAAAGAGTCATTTTCATTATTTCTAAAATTAAAAAATAATATTTATAAATAAAGGATTTAAAAACATATGTATAAGATAAAAATACTAAAAAATGTGTGCCATGAAAATTTGTACAAATTAAAAAATTTATGAAATAAAAACACATGTATTTTTTTGACGTTCTAAGTTTGTTTTGTAGAAGTTCCATATTCTGATGAAAAAAATTAAAAACAAAACAATTTCATTTTATAAAATGTAAGTTTGTCATCAGATTTTCTATATTCTTTTTTTTTTCTTCTTTTTGAACAAAAAATTCTACAAAAAACTTTTTTTCATGATCAGAAGGTATCTCTAAATAAAGTGATGTATTGCAATTTCACTAAAATTCGCAAGACTTTCTCATTATAATGAGAAAGTAAAAAGAACTCTTTTTTTTAAATTAAAAACATTGTCAATTTGAAAATTGAAAATTTTTTACTCAGATATGATTTTTAGAAATAATTAAGAAAAAAAACTGATTACATCAAATTTTTGTAGAGTTAATATTTTTTTTCAATGGTAGAGAGTTTTTCAAGTAATATCATACTTTTTTCTGTTCAAAATAATAAAAATAAAAATGCCAAAAATTGAACAGTTGCAAATTTTGAAATTTTATACTAGTTATTTTTGTAAATATTTTTTTTTGCAGAATTTACAAATTTTTTGTATTTCTATCGATCTATAAAAAAATTTTTTATTAGTATTATTATTGGAAATTTATAACGATTTTGATTATCAAATATTTAATCTTTAAAAAAAAATAATTTGTTAAAAATATAAACATTGACAAGAAAAATTATTTTTGTAAATCATTTGAAGTTCAATAAGAAGAAAAAAATTTTTTGAAAAATTTTGAGAGAAAGGTAAAAATTATTGTTTGTATTTGTTTAAATAAATTGTTCGAATGTTTTCAATAAATTACGTAATTTTTTTGAAATAATAAATTTTAATCGAAAGCGATATTAATTTCAAATAATACCAAATATCAGAATGATTTATTGATACAGATTAATAGAAAAACAATTATTTTCTAAATTCACACAATAAAATGTTCAAATAACAATAACTAGTATAGAATTTTAAAATTTGCTAAACTTGTATTTTCTATTTATTGTTTTGAACAGAAAAACGTGTATTACTTGAAAAACTATCCGAGCATAAAAAAAAATGTTGGCACACTTCACAAAAATTGTGTCTCAAGTTATATTTGGATAAAACATAGATGGAAAATTTTTATAAATAATTAAGAGAATTAAAAATGATTATAAGATGGTATTATGAAAATTTTATTTTAATTTTCAATTTTTTTTTACATTTTTTATTGTTTTTTTTATATATAAAATGAATAAATTTTTCTAATTAAAATTTTTTTTATTTTGTAAATTTCATTAATTTAATTAATTAATTAATTTAATTTTTATTTATGAAATTATTTACAAAATTATTTATAGAAGTGTGTTCTAATTTTAAAAAAAAATCGATTTTTACCTCTCATTTCTTTTCCTACATTATTGTAACAGTATCCAGAGTTTGTTATTGTTTTAAAAATAAAAAAAAAAATTTTTAAATGTCCAATTTTATGATGTTTTGAAATTAAATTTTTCTATTTAAGTTATTTTTTTATTTTCTTGTAAAATTTAATTTAATTAATTCATTTAATTAATTAATTTCATTTAATTTCCAGTGAAAATGTAGCTTTTTTTTATATTTTCATCAGAAAACTGAAAAAAGTGTAATTTTATTTTTGATAGAATTATTTTTTTTTTTAATTTAAAAAATTTTTTTTCTTTTAATTTATTTGAAACGAAGATTTCTAAAAGATTAAATAGAGAAAATTCGTAAAACAAATTCACAGTACAATTCTTTTGTAGGTACAACGGCATTCTGGATAATAAAGGCGAGTGCTGTTTTGGAATTGGAGAAATGGATGCTTTTTCAGAAATTGATGTTCCTTTGGTAAAAAAGCATTATTCTGTGCTCGAGAAAGCAGATCTTATCGTTCTTGACGGAAATCCTCCTATTGAAACTATGAGAGCTATTTTAGATATTGCCACAAGTCTCAGAAAACCAGGTAAGTTTATTTATTTAAATATTTTAATTTAATAAATATCTGAGGTTATTTTTTTTTTTAAATAATTACGGAATTTGAAAAAAAAAATATGTACCCTATTGAAATTTTTAATTTTTCTCTAAATTAGTTACAATTTATTATTTAAATGTTCCAAATGTTTGAAAAATTAGTTACAAAAAAAAAAAAAAAATGTGACGCATAAATAAGCTCTGAAATTAATTTTTTTTAATTTTTATTGTATAGAAATTCATTCATTTCAGTGAATTTGAATTTAATAGAATTATTATTTGGTCGAATTTTTATTAGACTGAATAATTATTCTAAACAATTTTTATTTTACAGAAAAAATGTTATTTTTTCGGTCTATTGTGTTAAATTTTTTATTTTTTCGAATTTACAATTTACCAAATTCTTAGAACGTGTCAAATTTTTATTTTGCAGAATTTTCATTTGTCCTAATAAATATCTGACAGAAAATTTGGGCGCAAATATTTCTCACAGTGTATTTATTAGGACAAATGAAAATTCTGCAAAATAAAAATTTGACGTTCTAAGAATTTGGTAAATTAGAAAAAATAAAAATTCAGTTAGAAAGAAATTCTTTCTAATATTCTATCTGTAAAATAAAAATTCTTTTAAATGAAATTCAATGAAAAAACGATCAAATAGTAATTCTGTCAAATTCAAATTCAATGAAATAAAAATTCTGTAAAATGAAAATTGATTAAAGTAACAATTTTTTATTATAGAAATTTGGTTAATTGGATTTTAATTTTAGATAAATTTGTAAACTTTTTGTTAAAAAATAATTCGAAAAAATTAAAATTTGGCTGAAAATAAATTCTTTATGAAATTCTATCTAATGAAAATTCTAAAAAAATTATTTGAGCTTATTCCTGCATATTAAAAAAATGATATTCTTTTTGAAAATGAAATCTAATTTTTTAAACTACTTGTTTGAAAAAAATTTTTCTTTTTTACAATTTCTACAACTTTTTAAATTGTAATTTTTATCTCTTTTTTCCCTATGATGAAAATTGGTTTATTTATACTTAATAGTAGGGATATATAAAATAATACAAATTATTTCTTATTTTCATGTCATTGTATTTGACATTTCAATTTCACAAAGTACATAAAGCTTTTAGCTCAGATCAGTATATTCAAATAAAAAAAAAAAAAAGTATATATATATACAAATTGAGATTCATTTTAACAGATTTTAACGTATTAAAACCAGATAAGAGACAGTTAATCCTTTGAGGACGGACAATAATCAATTTAAATGACATTATTAAATGCATTTTTATTGATATTTTTTATTATCAAAGGTTTAAATGTTGGCCTTAAATTTTAAAAAATATAACTTGTGCAAATCACTCGAAAAAATACATCAATGTCTTTTTAATGTTTTTTTTTTTCTAATTCTAAAAATTCTCTAAATTTTTAATTTGTTTTAAGGCTTGCGTAAAACTGATATTTTTTCAAAAATATATTACGCTTTTCTTTTCTCTTTTTTGTTTTACGAATAATTTTTCAAATCACGATATTGTATACTAAATACTTTGCATTTTTTTTTTTTTTTAACTTTTAAAGTTAAAAATAAATATTTTTTCTCTGTAAGGCACTAATACGTAAAAAAAGAGAAAACATACGGTGCATTTTACTTAAAAACTATCAGAAGTCACAAATTTCGTTATACACATTAACGAAGTGTAAAAAAAAATGTACATTTACAGAATGTTAATTTATATGGTTTCAAACCATAAATATTTTCGAATATTTTCTTTGAAAATCTATTTAATCTGCAATATGAAACACGATATAAAAAATATTTCTTTTTTTATATTATATAATTCATTTGAGTTATATGTATATAAACACAAAAAAAAATACACGTAAAAAATTCTAAATAATTATTATCAACGTAGGAAGCAATAAAGCTTACACAAAAAAAATGGACGGAATATAATTACATACGATTAATACTAAAAATAAGTTGTTCCTAAATTTTGCGAAATGTCTTTCGCACAAAAATAATTCAAACATTTCTCGCAGATCTCACTTCATAAAATGAGTATCGGATTTTTAGTTACCATATTAAAAAAAAAAAAAAAAATGTTAAAATTCTTGTTTTTGTATTTGTATCACGAAAATTATATATAATTGCTTCGATGTAAGCCATGATGACTTTGAGGATTTGGTTGCATTTGCATGACTAAATTACGTGATTCCTTACGTGATTTATATCCGGAACGTGCATCCAAATATAAAAAGAAAGCACCAACACCATGAAAGAATGTACTGATTACTGCGATACCATAGGACCATGATAAATGATTAAATTTCGGATACATTAACCAATCTCGTCTCCAGCACATTGTTCCAAATACCAAAACTGACAAAAGCAGCAAAAAACCTGAAATAATCGTGTCACAAATATATTATCGTAAAATTAAAAAATTATTATCAAAGTGAAAAAGAATTATTTAAAATAATATTCGAATGCATAAATAAGTTTTAAAAATCAATTGTTAGAAATTTTATTTAATAGAATTTCATTCGATAGAATTTTCATTGAACCGAATTTATATTTGTTCGAATTATTATTTTGCAGAATTTTTATTAAACTGATTTTCTATATTACAAAATATTTTATAAAACCGAAAATCCATTTCATCGAATTTTTATTTATTCGAACTTTCATTTGTTGGTATTTTTATTTAATCGAATTTTCATTTTACATAATAGTCATTTTAATGAATTTTTATTACTTATAATTTCAAAAACGCATAATTATGTTCTAAAAATCATTAGTTAGAATTTTCATTTTATGAAATTTCATTTGTCATAATTATTTTTGAGCCGAATTTTTATTTGTTCGAATTAGTATTTTGCAGAATTTTCATTAAAATGATTTTCTATATTACAGAAATTTTATATAACCAAAAATTCAATTCACAGAATTTTTATTTGTTCAGAATTTTCATTTCCTCGATAATTCTATGCAATAAAATTCTACCCAATAAAAATTCTTTAAAATGCCTATTATGTTAAATGAAAATTCAAGCAATTACAAATTTGAAAAAATAAAAATTCTGTGAATTGAATTTTTGGTTATATAAAATTTCTGTAATATAGAAAATCATTTTGATGAAAATTCTGCAAAATACTAATTCGAACAATTAAAAATTCGGCTCAAAAATAATTATGACAAATGAAATTCCATAAAATGAAAATTCTAACTAATGATTTTTATAACATGTGTCCCGAAAAAGTCGTAAAATCCGAGCCCTGTAAGTTAGATAAAAATTCTTTAATATAAAAGAAAATCGTTTAAATGAAAATTCTCTGCAAAATAATAATTCAAAAAAATATAAAATTCAGCTCAATGAAAATTCTATCGAATTAATTTCTATTAAATGAAAATTCTAAAAATTGATTTTTAAAAATTAATCATGCGTCTCTAATATTGATACATGTGATTAATAAATTTAGAAATTTATTTTTTTTTCGATACGTACAAGCAACAATATTGCAGAGACAAGCAATTGTTGATAATAACCACTCGTATCGTAGGACAAATCTCAATGGATAACGAATTGTGACTGATGCAATTAATCCTTGTGCAATTAATGACAAAAATAAAGATAATGTGACAAATGCTTGAACAACCATTAGCCATCCAGGTACGAGCCACTCTCGAAGAACATAATATTCGAGAGAAAATATATTATTGCATCCGTCGTATATTTTGTCAAATTGATAATTGGGAAAACGAAAATGCTCAAAACAATATTCCCATAGTCCCATATTTTTAAAACTGCTAAATGCTTCATCGTATGATGATATCCAGTATGGGCTGAAATTAAATTTCGTTAGGAATTAAATAGAATAAAATTTAATTTATTTAATTAAAATTAATTTAGAACCAATCAATGGAAAATTAACGAAGTACGCAACGTTTATAATAAACGATTTTTATAGAAATAATTTTTTAAAATGAAAAATTCTATAATTTTTTGCCTAAAAAGTATTTTTTGCAGTTTTTATTAATTAATAAGTTATAAAAAAATATTTTTAGGCAAAAAATTGTAGAATTTTTCATTTTAAAAAATTATTTCTTTTAAAATCGTTTATCATAAATGTTGCGTACTTCAGCTTTGTGAAAATTATTTGAGATTGGTTAATAGGAACACATAAATATTCCCCACATTAGACTTAGATTTTTTGTAATTAAAAATTATCGAATTTTTATTTAGCAGAATTTTATAAAATGGATTTTATAATAAGCCTAATTTTCACATCGAAAAATTTCTATTAATTTTTATAAAAATACACCTTTTGATTGTTATGAATTAAATTATTTACACTTGTACTGAAACACTACCTATTAAAGTTTTTATTAATTTTTTATTTATAAAAATTCGAAAATAAGAAGTTAGATTAACTTTTGTTTCGATTATTTATCAAATTCTTCCTCTTAAAAAAAAATTAAAATTAAAATAATAAATAAAATATAGGGAATATAAGCATAAAAATATAGTAAATAAACATAAATATTTATTAGTAAAATTTAGAACTAATCTATAGCAAAAAGCCAGTCACTAATTCAAATTAATCAAAATTCTTCCTAATTCACATTTTGGAGTAAACTTTCTTTTTAGAGTAAAAATGACAAAAAAAAATTATAATTAATTTATTATATTTTAAAAAATTACTATTTCCTTCATAAAAATATTAATTTTGTTTAATGCTCGTATTATTAAATTTATTGTTTAAGTACATATTAAAAAAATAAACTACTTAGAGAAGAAAACATTTGATGAATTTTATGTAAATAAAAAAAATCGAATTATTAATATTTTTTTTTAATCATGATTTTTATTATCTCTGATAATAAGCTTGATAAATATAACAATATTTGTTAATAAATGAGCGAGCAAGGTTATATCAATTTCATTTATATTATATTTATCTGTTATATTGATGTAGGATTAGTTTTTTATAATTTCTATTTGTATAGATTATTTAGTTTATAATGCAGCTGTATATTTTTCTTTTTAATCCTGTTATTGGTCTTCTAACTTTTATTTAATACAAAACAAATAAATAAAAAAAAAATAATATAATATATATATATGTCAATCTTGAGACAGTTGCAAAGATAAATAAGAGGTTATGTTAGCTGTCAATTCGAATAGAGAAAAAGACGAAAAACAATAAGCACGAAGTGATGTGACATATTTTGTTCAATTAAATTTTCAGTAAAATAAAACTCAAGTTTAGTAAATTTTAGTGAAAATTCGTATAAAAGTATTAAATGACTCATATCTGACTTCATCGATTATAACAACACAACACAGTTCAATATTTAATATCTAATTTAAAAAAAAAAAAATAAAGTAAATTGCATTTAAAAATATAACTTAATTTTCCATATTTAAATTTCATTTTCCAAATTGAATAATAAAATTTTCTATACATAAAAGTAAAAAATATTGATCTATAGAATTAAATGCATAGAAGTTGGAAATTCTTTTTTAGGTCATATATTAGCATACATATTTATAGTTAAAAATAATTTGAAAATATTAAAATAAAACAAATTTACCTTGCAAATGATATAAGTAAAAGAATTCCCGCTATATGTGTGATTATTCCTCCAAAAACCACAGCATCTAAATAGAAAATTTTTTTATTTTTAAAAAAACCACAATAACATAAGAGAGGTTAACTTTTTCTGTCAACATAAATGTTGTTTTCTTTAAAAAAAAAAAACACACTTACTTGAAGCCCGATGATATTCTAATTTATTAGCCGACATTTTTATTTATGTTAAAAATTGATTAACGTTGTTGAAATTAATTTTTAACAATTAAAACTTTTTTTTAATGCAATTTTTGAAACATTAGTCGTTCTCTTGTCAGTTGCCACGCCTTACCAAGTAGTTGCGTCGGCATCGCTCACAATCACAACACAGTCAATTTTTCCCACTCCACGTTTCTATACATCGTTTACCATACCTATATAAATGTGTTTTCATTTTATGTGTGTCTTTAATAATATCTAATAATGTACTATATACAGATGCACTTGTAATTTCAAAGTAAATTAGAAGAGATTTTTTTCAATTAATTTTCACTTAAGGAAAAATGGAGAAATTCCTTTACTTTATTTTTTTTATTCGAATATATATAATAAAAATATTAAAATATAAATTTTCAAAATTTCTGTTCTAATTTTTTTTTAAAAGTGACACAATTTAAATAAATAATAATAATAATTGATATTTAATAGAGAACATTGTCTAAATAATATAATAATTAATTAATAATATAAATATTTATTATTTATTTAAATTAATTTTTTTTTTACTTGATAAGTATATTTGTCAAAGAAAGTTTGTAATTTTTTAAGTAAAAATTGTTTACACAATCGAAAGAAAAATTAGTTCAATTTCTGATATTTTTAAATAGAATTTTAAAAAACATTGAAAATTAAATATTGAAATAAATTAAATATAATTTATAATTAAAAAGTGCTGGAAGTTTTTAGAATTATAAAATTATTTATGAATAATTTTATTTTTGCCATTGGTTATATATTACTCATTTAAGAGTTTTTTGAAAAAAAAAAAAAATAGGAACAATTACGATAACATAAAACTAAAAATTTTATAATCGTTTTTTAATCTTAGAAAAATTTTGTAACTTTTTTTATCCAATAACAACTTTTAATGATTTAAACTGATAAAAAAAAGCTTTTTGATTTAAAATTATGGAGTTGGACTAATTTTTTATTTAACTGTTTCGATTGATTCCTTCTTAAAGAACAAAAAAAATTTTTTCTGAAAAAAAATATTAGTATTTAAGGACGATTATAAGCAGGGACGCAGACCTTCATAAAAAAAATATTTAATTTACGTTTAAAAAATTAAAATATTATTATTAATAACATTCATTAGAAGAAATACCAATTTTCAAGAAAAAAAAATTTTAATTTTCAAAAATTATTTATTTATCCTATATATACATTTTGCATATGATCAAAAAAAATTTCATATTGCTTCCACAAAATTTTTTATTTATTTATTTCAAATATTTCTTGTCAAAAATGATTCAATTTATTTTCTTCAGAAAATAATAATTATTATTTTGATTTAAATAAATTTTACAAAATTTTCCTTTCATCAATTTTTCATTTAATTGATTTCTATTTGATAGAATTTTTTTTGGATAAATTTTTTTTTAACCAATAAGTTAAAATTATCTATAATATTAATGTAGAAAAATAATAATTGAATATGGTTATTTATTTAAGAAAATTAAAAATTATTTTTTAACAAGTAATTTTATTAATTAGTTACTTTTTTATAAATAAATAAATAAATATCGGATTATTTTTTACAAAATTTTAAGGAAGCGATATAAATTCAATTTTGATTACATGAAAAATGTACAAATAAATAATTTTTGTGAGTTTTAAATTTTTTTCTTCAAAATTTTTATCTGTTCTTTCAACGAATATTATTTTTAATATTTTAATTTTGTAAACGTCAATAAAATTTTTTTTCTAGAGGTCTGCATTCTCAGTTATTAACGTTCTTAAATGAATTATTATTCGTTGAAAGCATTTGTCAAAATAAAATCTGATAAATTGAATAATTTTAAAGAATACAAAATTTTCGTTTCACGAGAGATAAAAATTGGAAAAGTAGAATTTACTTCGATATAGAAATTATCCCACTTTCTTCTGCATTATAGAATCCAGAAAAAAACATTTTTTCTTATTGAGTCTTTAAATTTTTGTAAATAATTTAAATAATTTAAATAAATAGATAAAATTAAATACATACAAAATAAAAAAAATTTAATTTACAAAAATTGGATCCATTCAAATTATGTTCCATTATTATTATTTTTTTAAATAAATTAAAAATCATGTTTTTTAGGACATATTTATTTGTTAAAGAAGTATGTATTAATAAAAATTTTCACAACGTTTCAAAACCATATATGCTTACTTCATATAAAATCCTATTATATTTTTGAAATAATTAATATTATTAAAAAGAAAAATTTTAAACACATTTTTTTAAATTAACTTGTAATTTTATTTATTAATTTAAACTCAAAAACTCGCGTATAAAATCCTCACGTAAAAGAATAAAAGTACTAAAAAAGAAAAAAAAAAAAAAAATTCTACATATAATTAAAGTCATAGAAAGTGACATGTCCTTGAAATTCGTTCCCACATATTTCTTCCATTTAATGCAATGTCAAGTTAAGTAGTACGTTTTTTTATTGCATACGTGATACATGAATATGTTTGTTCTAAATTCAAATCAAAGGTAATTTTCAAGGAAGAGAGGATAATACAATATACATGGGAAGAAATATTTTATTAAAATATATATATTACACTTTTTAGAGGTGAGAAAAAAAGAGAGAAATCATTTAGAAGGTTTCATTTTTTTTTCCCCCAACCTCTTGAAAATGTTTACGTGACATATTTTAATAAAAGTATAGAATTTTTCATTTAATATATTTAATTTTTTTTTAACAAAATAGGAAATTAAATTCTCTTTTAAGTTTAAAAAAAAACATTTATTTTTGTTTGTACAAATCTTTAATAGATTTTTTACAATAAAAAAAAAAAAGAAAAATACAAATAAATTTTGTACGCAGTTTTTTGTGTATATGGACGGAAATTGTAGACATATATTTGCTTTTTTTTAAAGCGAGTTTCACAAAATTTCATACAAATAATACTTTCATGTATTTTTGTTATTTGTATAAATTACATATAGCTATAATATATTTTTTTATTTTGCAAAAAGTAGATTTGCAAACTAAAGTAAAAAAAAAAATAGTATATATTTTTTAATGCATTGTTATAATCTCGTAGAATGAATATTTTTGTCAAATTCGTTCGATTTAATTTCATCGCAGTGAGAAATTCATTAATAAAATTCAATTCACTGTTAATAATTAATAAAAATTAACTGCGGTAATGTTAAATTTAAATTTACAATAATTTGATTTAATAATAATTAATTAATAATTTAATTATATTAAATTTAAATTTAACGGCATCAGTGAATTTAAATTTACTGGCGTTAGAGATGTTTTCTTTTTAATTCATTGTCATTAGTGAATTTTTAATTCACTGAAAATCAAAGAATTTTAATTTACTGAATTATGAAATTTGAGATTTCTCAAGGCAGCAAATTAGAATCAGTCTTGCATTCTAAGAAATTGAAATTTTTCATTGAAATGTGAATTCTTTTTTTTTTTAATTCTCACAAATAAATTTACGTTTGAATTTTTCAAATTCAATTAAAACTAAAAAAAAAAGACAACTACGCACTATATTATACATAGATGTATATATATATATATATATATATAAAATTAAGTTATTAAAAATTTTAAAACCTACTAGATTAATGGACGGATGATAAAAACTATATATTTGTAACGGAGATTCTAATTTTTATACAATAGGTACAAGCACGTCATGAGTTGAGTTCGTATCCTCAAAAAGGCACTCAAAAAGGCATATTTCTCTCGTATTTTCAATAAATCTAAATTTTTAATTACTTATTCCCCCTCCCCCTTCTCAAATGATAAAAGATTTTTTTTTTTATTTTTCTCATTTTCCTCAAAAATAGGATTTTTTTCCCCGCTAGTCATTGATTTCGCAAATTTCTTCAATATTTAAAATTTTAAATGCATAAATTTTTTTTTAAGATTTTGACTCCAATTGAAATCTTGTTTGTGATTCTCTCAAGTAATTACGTTTTTTACGTTGAACATTACCTTCAATAATAAAAAGTAATCCGGCAATTAAAATTAAAATAACGCCAATAACACCCAATACAAATGACCATCCAAAATAATTTGTTTCATGTCCTGGCATCCAACCTTCTGTATTTCCAAGACTACCAAAAACAATAACTGCCAATATTCCAGAAACACCTCCAATTAACAGTATTAAGCCAATTAATAAAATAAGATCCACGTAACGCTTTTGTTCTGGATCACAGCACAATCCAAATAATAACACTAGACCAAGTGCCACAATGCATGCTATAAAACTGAGAGTAAAAAACACTTGGGTTACTACCATGAATGCTGAAACAAACATACAAAAAAAGAAGGATAAATTAGTGGTGAAAAAGTGTTTAATCAAATTATATAATTATTTATTTATTTATATATTTTACGAAAAAAAAATCGCAAATATAAAAAATGTTAAATAATAACTCGGTAAAGTAAAAGATTTGATCAAATGAAAATTCAGTTAAATATGAAAACTTGGTTAAATAAAAATTTATGCAAACAAAAATTATGTCAAATATAGAAAATTAAATTAAATGAAAAGATAAAAGAAAAATTTTTGTTTAAATTTAAATTTATTTAAAAGAAAATTCTGATAATAACAATTCGGATTTTATTGAAAATTAGGTCAAAAGCGCAAATTCGGTGAAAATAAAATTTTCTGAAAGAAAAATTTGGTTCAACAAAAATTAGCTCAATAAAAAATTCGTTGAGATTAAAAATAGAAAATTATGTTAAACAAAAAACGTGGTTAAATAAAAATTTATTAAAAAAAAAAATTCCGACAAATAAAAATTCGGTTAAAAGAAAAATTTTACCAAATGAAAATTTTGGCGCAATTTAAATTTGGGGTAAATAAAAATAGGAAAAAAATTTTGACAAATAATAATTCGATTAAATGAAAATTGGATCAAAAAAAAAAAAAAATTGGGTAAAATTAAAATTTGATCAAATGAAAATTTTGTCAAAATTTTAAATTTAGTTAAACGAAAATTTGCTCAATAACAAATTTGTTGAGATTAAAAATAGAAAATTATGTTAAACAAAAAACATGATTAAATAAAAATTTATTAAAAAAAAAAATTCCGACAAATAAAAAATCGGTTAAAAGAAAAATTATCAAATGAAAATTTTGGCGCAATTTAAATTTGGGTTAAATAAAAATAGGAAAAAAATTCTGACAAATAATAATTCGATTAAATAAAAATTGGGACGAAGCTGAAGTACGCCACGTTTATGATGAACGATTTTTAAAGAAATAATTTTTTAAAATGAAAAATTCTATAATTTTTTGCTTAAAAAATATTTTTTTATTATTTTTTGATTAATGAAAACTGCAAGAAATATTTTTCAGGCGAAAAATTATAGAATTTTTCATTTTAAAAAATTATTTCTTTAAAAATCGTTTATCATAAATGTTGCGTACTTCAGCTTCGTAAATTGGGTCAAAAAAAATTTGATCAATTGATAATTCTGTTAATAAAAAATTTGATTTAAAATTTGTTTAAATAATTAATTCGTCGAAATGAAAATTCCGTCAAATAAATATTCGGTTTGAAAAAAAAATTGAGGAAATAAAAATGTTATCAAATACAAATTTGTCGAAATAAAAGTACATTCAAAGGAAAATTTTTACCAAATAACAATTTGGTTAAATGAAAATGAGGTCAAAAGCAAGTTCAGTGAAATTAAAATTTGATTAAATGAAAATTCTGTTAAACGAAAATTTTATTATAAACAAATTTGTTAAAATTAAAATTTGATCTACTACACAATTTTGTTAAATGAAAAAAAGGTTAAATTAAAAAAAATTTATTGAAAAAAAAATTTGGTCAAATAAAAATTCGGTTAAAAGAAAAATTATCAAATGAAAATTTTTTTAAATTCAAATTTCTTTAAAAAATTCTGCCAAATAATAATTCGATTAAATGAAAATTCGGTGAAATTAAAATTTTATCAAATGAAAATTCTGTTAAATTCAAATTTTTATCAAATGAAATTTTTGTCTAATTTAAATTTAGTTTAATAAAAATTTATTAAAAAAGAAAAATTCCCCACCAAATGATAATTTGATTAAATGGAAATTTGATAAAAAGCAAAATTGAAAGAATGAAAATTCAGTCAAAAGTAAATCTGTTTGCCTGTGATCAATAAATAATAATTTTGGTATAAAATAGAAAAGTTTAATAAAAATAAATTCCCATGATTTTGAACAAAAATTTTATGATATTTTGTGTATATTAAAATAAAATGCAAGTTTATCTATAGATTATTCAATTATTATAGAAAATCATGATTTTATTTTGTGATTTCATTTATTTTGTTGAAATGTACAAAAAAAAAAAACAAAAAAGGATTCTTTGTAACTTTACTATTTCTGACTTTCAAAAGAGCAGCATCATAAGGTATAAAAAATTTAAACCCTTTTCAAAAATTAGGTCATTTGATAAACTTTAAAAGCATCTAAAAATATTTGTGAAATCTTTAAAAATAATTGGAAAAGTCTTTGAATATTTAAAAATATTACAAAGTAAATGAAAACCTTTTAAAATAATATTTAGTACTTGAAATTATTAAAAAAGATTTAATAAAATAATATTCATTATAACATTGAAAAATATTTTATATTGATAATTGGAAATATCACAATTTTATATCGAATCATTTAAAAATTTCTTAAAATTTTCATGAATATTTAATGAGCCTGAATCGAAAAATTTAATTACTATTTTTTTAACTTTAAATTTTATTATAAAATATTGCTTTCTGTATCGAAAAATAAATTATTAATAATTTATTAAATGTTTAATATACTTTTTTATTGATATAGTAATTTAAAAAAAAATTTATACACCAATTTGAACATTCAAAACTTTAGGTATATATTTAAAAAATATAAGATTTACATTTGATAATATCTTTCGTGTGTACGAAGAATAATTAAGCTTATAAATCTCTCGCTATTGACTTCTCTTTTTTTTATGAAAAAACATTTATAATTATCATCAAAAACAATCGTTGCATATTAGTCATTGGAAGATGAAATTTTTTTTTCTTCTAAAGAACCACGATTTTTGATTTCAATAAATAATAATTATATTTATTTTTTTTTTCGCTAAAAACAAGAGTTTTAAATTGAAAATTAACTGTAGATTAAGAGAAAAATCAATATTAAGTTTTAAAGAACAAAATTTAAATAGGTTATAAAAAAAAAAAATTCTTTCGAAACCAATTCCTCAAAGGATGAATCATTAAAAATAAATTATTGAAAATTAACAAACTTACTTGGTAACAAAAATCCCCGAATATCGGAGTAACCAGCAGTAAATGGATCATAGATCCATCTGCAACCAACGAAAAATCGTTTTAATGCATAAGGCTCAGTTGGATTTGCAAGCGATCGAAAACAATGCCTCCAAAGTCCCAATTGATTGAGTTTCGCGCCTGTGATTCTATAGTCACTTACTAACCACGCAGATGTACAAAATGCAGTACAAACACACACTAAACCAACAATAAAAACTCCAATTCCAACATTGCCAGATAAGGTTCTTTTCTTCATTGTAAATGATGATTTTTGCGTGGCAAAACTCGACACCATCAAAAATAATGAAAAAATAAATGTCAATAGATCAAGATCTGAGTTGAGACTTATGAATAGAAGAGATCCCACGTGAACCACACCCAGGAGAGGAGGCTATGTTGTCATGAAGCGGCCGTCATGTATATACTATACAACACTCTGCTGACACACTCAAGAAGTCAAATATGTTACCTAACCTAACCTAACCTAATCATATAGTATATTATAATACGTGAGCACGTTCAACGTTTTAACGCACAGTTTTACAGGATATACCATCAGCCCATGGCCATTATATTCGTTCGTTCGCTCGCTTACAAATACAAACAAGCCGATCATTGTTCGTTCTTTGGTTATAACTTTATGACGAAGTTATGCAGAAATAAGGGGCATTGTGACTTATGACAAAACTCACTTATAGGCATACATGTCTTGAATTGCGAATATTTTTTAGAAAACAAGGAAGATCATTAAAAGAATATTATTGTGTAATTCTCTTCATATAGTTGAATTGGAAAAAAGTAAAAGTATATTTGTACCGCACACGCGAGGGATTTAGAAAATATTGTCAAAATTCTTTTTTTGAATCCTAAAATTTCATTCCGAATCAATTTTATTATAGGCTTTAGAGTTTTGTTCCTATTTTTTTCTCTATTATAAATAATTCCCCTATTTTATGTTGAAACTCGAATAATTGAATATTTCATAAAAATCCAAATTTGAACCAAAAAAAATTACAAGCTTTGGATTGCACGACTTTTTTTTGACTTTTTTTTTTAATGAATGCGACTATTTTGATTTATTTTTATAATAATTGTGACTTTTTCGACTTTTTTGAACAAAATATACTTTCATCAAAATTGTCTGAAAATTTTATTATTTAAGGACGTTTATCCACGGAAATGCAGACCTCCAGTGAAAAATAATTAATTAACATTTAAATAATTAAAATAATATTATTGATTGTATTTTCTGAAAGAAGAAATATCAATTTTCAAGAAAAAAATTTAAAACTTAAAAAATTTATTTGTTTATACAATTTGCATAGGATAAAAATTTTCCGTCACATCGCTTCTACAGAATTTTTTAAAAATGATTGAATTTCAATGTACTTATTTTCTTCAGAAAATAATTCTCTACAACTTCATTGTGGGGATTTTCAAATAAGCAAGCCGTTTAGAAAATATGACTATTTGTTTAAAAAAAATCTAAATTTTAATTTTAAACAAATAGCCATATTTTCCAAACGGCTTGCTTGTTTAAAAATCCCCACGATGAAGTTGTAGAGAATCATTTTCTGAAGAAAATAAGCCATATTATATGAGCCAAATGTTTTGAACGTTCAAATGAATGAAATTTTTTTTGCAACTTCTTCAAGTACAAATTTTATTAAAAAATATTGTTTTAAATACCTGAAAAAGATGTTATTAATTTAATAATCGTTTAATTTACTGTTTTATTTTACATTGTCATCATAATTTTTAATAATTTATAAATTGAAAAAAATATTTCGTTCATTTGAACGTTTAGAATTTTTGGCTCATGCCATATTACATTGATATCCAATCATTTTTAAAAAATTCTTTAGAAGCGATGTGACAGAAAATTTTTATCCTATGCAAATTGTATAAACAAATGAATTTTTTAAGTTTTAAATTTTTTTCTTGAAAATTGATATTTCTTCTTTCAGAAAATACAATCATAATAATATTATTTTAATTATTTAAATGTTAATTAATTATTTTTCACTGGAGGTCTCCATTTCCGTGGATAAACGTCCTTAAAACATTTTCTCAATACAAATTTTTCTAAAATTCAGTTATTGTCTAAATCTTATAAAAAAAAAAAAATAAAATTTTTGAAAATTTTGATTAAAAATTTCCTGAAATTCAATTGTTTTCAACAATTTTGTAATTGAAACTATTTTAAAATTTAATAATTTTTCAAATTTTTAACTTAATTTCTTTGTTGAATTAATTATTTCTGATAACTTTAATCAAAGTCTTTAAAAATTCCATTAATAAACACATTTATCAATTAAAAATTTTGTTATTTTCAATTATCTTCTGAATTTTGTAAAAATCTTTCTCAATTCAAATTTATTAAAATTCCTTTTGTATATCTTCTGAAATTTTAATTATTTCTGAAAAACTTAAATATATCTCTTCCAAATTCGATTATTTCCAAAATTTGTATATAAAATTCTTCGCTAAATTAATTATTTCAATCATTTTATATTCAATTTTTCAAAAATTCCAATTTTTTTTTTTAAATTCTTTAAAATTCGATATTAATGTTTAAAATGTTGTCAATAATTTTCAGCAATTCAAATTTACAACAATTTCAATTAATAAATTAATTTTTTCAATAATATTTTAATTAATTTCTTTGAAAATTTAATTATTTAAAACATTTGCAAAAATTCTGAATTCGAATAATTTGTACAGTGACTTGGAATTTTTTCTTCTTTTCAAAGTAACTTTAAATTATTATTTTTCAAAAAATTTGTCCTACTGAATTGAAATCTTGAAAATTCGTCATAGTTTAATTCTGAAGTTTAAAAAAAAAAAATTCATAGAAATGACGAAGCTGAAGTACGCAACGTTTATGATAACGATTTTTAAAGAAATAATTTTTTAAAATGAAAAAAATCTATAATTCTTTGCCTACAAAATATTTCTTATAATTTTCATTAATCAAAAAATTATAAAAAAATATTTTTTAGGTAAAAAATTATTTGCTAAAAATAGTTTATCATAAAAACGTTGCGTACATCAGCTTCATTGGAAATGTTCCTGTGAAACATTCTTATTATAGAATTAAAAAAAAATTATTTAATTTTTAATAAATTAATGTTAATAATAATGAAATATTTTTATAAAATTTATTAAAAATAAAAAATATCGACTTTTTCAATTTTTGTTGTAATGAAAATCGACTAAAACGACTTCTTTCTCTTTCTAAAGTCAATCCGAGGCCTGAATTAGGAAAATTTCAATTCTTTTTTTAACAGAAAAATAATTTTTAAATTTTATTTAAACAAATTTTAATTTAAATAAATTTAAAATTTCAGACTTTCTTTGAAAAATATGAATAAAATCAAGTTTTGTATATATTTTACAAGACGGTTTTCGGTTTGATAAAATAAAAAATTACTTGCATTTTTTAAGAAAACAATTAGTTTATAAGTAATTTTCATTCTGTGGAAAATTAATTTTAAAATAATTTAAAACAATAAAAAGCTCTTATTTATTAAATGTATATGTAATTTAAGTTTTTATAAAACATTAAAAAAGACATTAACAAAAAATTAATTACTATACTGGGAAAATTTCTCCTTTAAATCTCACTATTCTCTATAAATTTATCATCTTTTAAAAAATTTAGAAAAAAAATTTTGCTTTCTATACTTTCTATGTTTTCAGATGTTTTTTAATTATCAAGAAAATGGGTGGTTTCAAAATTTTCACGGGTAGTGTAATTTACAACAACTTTAAAGCATTTTGGAAAAAAGAAAATATACGTTTAGATTTTACCCTGTTTTTTTCCTCCTTTTTTCAAATAAAATTTCCCCCTATTCCCCTTTTTTTTAGCAAATTTTATTTGAATCCTGCTATTAGTTTGGAAAAGAATTTATTCAGAATGAAATTTCATAATTTAAAAGGATTGAAATTTGCCTTCGGATTGATTAGGAATTTTTTAGGATTGAACAGATTGAAACAAACATTTTTTTTCGCAATTTTTAGTAAAAAATTTATATTCACATTTTTTTTTTAATAATTATACGTATTATTGTTTGATGAAGTAAGAATATTTCCTCTTTTATATGACATTTTTTTCTATAAATACAAATAAATAAAATTATTTTATTTTTTTATTCACAAGCATATAACAAAATGCTTGACCTTCAGTCATTTAAATTTATATAATTATTAAAAAATGTTTTGTTTAAGAATATATAATTGGCATTGAATGAACTTCAGATATATAATATAATATGTTAAAAATAGGTTTTTGTAATTTCAGTGTCGGACTCGTTGAGTACAATCGTAAATGATTTTAAATTATTCTTTTACGTGTTTGATAATAAGTCGCGCAGTATTACTCACAAATCAGTAATACCGTATTAATATTAACTATTATATTACTCAGTGTCTACAGTAAATATCTGTATTCACAAGTAGAGAATAGATTAATTATGACAATGCAAGTTACAAAAAAAAAAAAAAATAAAAGTATACTTTACTTTCGTGAAGGTTCTTCTTACAGGTTTATTCATTGCGCGCGTTTAAAGAATGATTCAACCATATAGTGGTTAATGATTACATTATATGACAACATTCTTCCTATTATTTCATTTGCATTTTATATGAACTAGATTCAGTTGCATGACAAAAATCATATTTCTGGTTCTGTCTCAGTTTCTAAGAGAAAGAGTAAAATTTATTGAAAATCTATTAAATCTGTCTTTTAAATTAAAATATATATAGAAAATTCCATGTGAGATTTACCTATGACATTTTAAATTCGGATAATTTTTTTTTCTTTGCAATACGTATTTTTTTATTTTTTTGTGCCCAAAGTTTTCGAGTAATGAATTTTTAAAAATCTTGCTTTTTCTAGAAAAAATAGTTTCAGTTTTTCATCGACTTTCAAAATATGTTAACGAAATTTTTTTTTTTTTAATTTTTATATAAACAAATTAAATTTTTTTAACTTTGGGCATGATTTTTTTCTTTTATTTTCAATTTACATACCTGGAAATACTAAAAAAAATACTAAAATGTTTTTGTTGAAATAATTTGTTTAAAAAAAATTTTAGTTTCTTTTTACATTTCATTTTATTTTTCAAAATTGAAAGTTTTTTTTTACCATTAAGATCTTTACCTTAACTCATAGAAAAGCAAACTAAAATGTATTTTATTTTAAAAAAATAAAAATAATGAAAAAATAATTTTCTTAATTTTAAAACTATTTTTCAAAATGTTTTTAGTATTTGCCGGTATGTAAAAATAAGAAAAAAAGTAAAAAAAATCATCTTCAGACCTCAAATCGACTTTAAGGCCAGGTCCAAGTCGAGTCAGCTGACACGACTTGGACCTGGCCTTAAAGTCGAAAAAAAAGTCGTTTTAGTCGATTTACATTCCAAAAATAGTCGAAAAAGTAGATTTTTTATTTAAAATTTTTATTAGTCAATAAGTATTTTAATTTAAATAACTAATGTTATTAGATATTAAATCAATTTTATTATTTTCTCAATTTTAATTAAGCAGAACAAATTTCTAAAAAAAAAAATTCCGAAAACAATTCAATTTTAGAGCTTTTATTTAAAAAATTTTTTAAAATATAATTGAATTTTTAAAGAAATATTAAAATTATTAAAAAAAATTGAACTTTAGAAGAGTTATAGTTCGAAATTTTTAGAAATAATTAAATTTCATAAAATTTTGTTAAATTTCAGACAATAATGAAATTTTACAGAATTGAAAATAATTTATCAAATAATTTTAGAGATAACCTTTTTTTAAAAGTAATTGAATCTTCAGAGATTTACAATTTAGATTTTTAAAATTAATTGAACTTCAAGGGATTTTTAATTGAAATTTTTTGGTGATTTCTATTGATGAAGAATTAATTTGGAATTGCAGACAAAAATTGAATTTAAATATTTTTCAATTAAAAAATACTTTCACACAATTGAATTTTCGAAGAATATTATAAAAATCTTTTAAAATAATTATATTTCGGAAGATTTATAGTTGAAATTATTAAATTTCAGAAAGTTTTAGAAGAAATAATTAAATTTTGGAAGGTTTTAAATTAAAATTTTTGAAATTAATTGAATTCAAATGATTTTTAATTAAGAAATTTTTTTATTTCTGTTGCTGAAGAATTTCTTAAAAATTAAACTTTAAAATTTTCTAATTGAAAAATACTTTGAGATAATTATATTTTCAAAGAATAAAAATAAAGAAACATTAAAAATAATTGAATTTCGAATGTGTTATAATAATTGAAATTATTAAGTTTCAGAAAGTTTTTGATGGAAAATTTTAAAAATAATTAAATTTTTAAAGGTTTTAAATTGAAATTTTTTGTAATTTTATTTGCTGATTTTTTTTTTTAAATTGTAAACATTTGTTAAATTTCATAAAATTTTTAATTGAAAATAGTTTAAGATAATTAAATTTGTGAAGAATTTTTATTAAAAATTTGAATATTATTATATTCTTTTTATAAAAACTTGACGGTTGTCATTGTGACAGTAAACCATTTCACCCAGTTCTTGAAAATGATAATTTCAGTGAACGCTTAAATTACTGTATATAATACACTAAACGCAGATTATTATTTTTTTAATTTTGATAAATGTCTTTATTAGAATTTTACATTTTTATGTTTAATAGAAAAAGTTTATATAAACAAAACATTGTATTATAAGGAATATTTAACAATGCTTATTACATATTTATTTTTATTTACTAAATGTTAATATTTAACAGAACGTTAAATAATAATATTTAATAAACAATTTATTTAAAAATGTACATCATCAATACTTAAAAAAGGCACTTCACTTACAAGGCTAAATTATATTTACATATATATTTGTTTTCTGTAAATTCATGCTTTGTAAACTATATAAACACTATCTAAACTGGACGGATTACATTCATATCAGGCATTCTTTTTTTTTAAATCGATTATAACAACTTTAAAAATTACATTTTCATTATTATTTCATTATAAATTATATGCCATAATTGTTCGATTTAAAGTCTATGCAGATCAGGACAAGTACAATAAAAACACTATCATTTCTTACAATATTGAGAGTGCAAAGTTTATATATATATATATGAAATAATTTTAATATTTAATTTGAAATCTTTTCTTGTACTATAGAGAGAGTATTTATTTCATTTTGTTAGATATTTCATTAACAAAATTATCAATTGTTTTTAATAAGATTTCTAGAAAATGAAACGAATATTATTGACAAATCAGATCTAATTTTATTTTAAAAATTAGTTTAGAATTTTTATCAAATAAAAATTATTTGTGCTTTTTAATCATATTAAATGATTATAAAAATTTCATTAGGATTTTTTTTAAATAAAAAAAAAATGCAACGTTTCTCTATACAAACAATAGTTTGTAAATTAGAATTTTTCTAAATTTCATCAAAGCTTGAAAAAATTATAGTTTTTTTTTAAAAATATTTTTATATTTTCATTTGGAAAAATAAATATTTGGAAGCTCGTTAAAAATATTATTTATATAAATATTCCAAAATTCAATTGAATTATTCAACTTTTTTTTTATCAAACTGAATCATGTTTTTTAAACATGTTTAAAAAAAAATTGTTAAAATATAATATGTATAATAATTTCAAGCCTTAATTTAAAGTAATACAAATTTTTTTAAAAAAATTAACACTGAAAAGTGATGGTAAAAAAATTCCACCTCTTTTAGATGGCTTTCATAAATAATAAAAAAAAAATTTCGATTATAATTAAATTGTTGTGTGTGTCTTTTGATCTTCATTGTACATTCTTTCGAATTTTTTCATATGTCGTCGACCCTCAACAAGAAATAGAATTCCCGCAGTTAGTACAGTAAAACTTCCAACCACTCCCACTGCATATGACCAACCAATATCATTGTGCTGCCAATTTGGCATCCAATCACGATAATCGCCACGACATCCAAAAATTAATACCGCTATAATTCCAGCAAGACCAGATAAAGTCAATATTGTTCCGTTTGTCCATAAAAGCAATTGGAATTTTTGTTGTTGCCGTGAACAACATCCGTACAATGCCGTCAAGAAAATTCCAATTAAAATTAACGTAAAACACATTGTGAACATAAATTGTGTGGCCACAAAGAATGTTGGTAATAAAAGATCGTGTAAAATGTAGTATTCCTCTTCAAAGACCCACCAACAATTATTAAATTTTGTATCGTACAAATGTTGAGTATCTGTAAAATCTTCGAAACATACTTGCCAAAGACCTGAAATCACACATGAATTTTTTTTTGTTAATTTTGAATTTAATGATAACGAAATATCAATTAAATGAATAAAATTAATTTAGGCTCAGTTGGGGTAAATAGGGGGACAAAATCGCAATTTTTCACAAATTACGCAAGTTTCTTCCTTTAAAAGGTAATATTTACGGGTTTATTTTTTTTAAGTTGTTATTTACGTTCCCAGGATTAATTTTATGCAGTAGAAAAAAATTTAGATAAGCTTTTAAACGCATGAAACTGACTGTCCCCATTTACCCCAAAATTTAGAAAATTTCATAAAATTCGGGGTAAATGGGAAACAGCATAGTTTCTAAGAAAGTTTTAAGAAAAAAGTTTCCTTAAGTATATTAAGTACTGTATTAAGGGATGAAAAAACTTGAAAAAAATTTTGTAGTAGATATATAATAGTTGAACCAATTGAAATTTATTTATTTATTTTTATTTCAGTATTTTGTCTCGCATTTGAAAAAAAACAGACTTAAAAATCATACCAAATTTTTTTCTTATTCCTTATGACTCCTATAACTGAAATTCACTTGAATTTTTGATTTTTGTTAATTTGGTTAATAATAACAATCTGTCCTCATTTACCCCAAAAATTTGAAAACTCAGGGTAAATGGGGACAGCTTGTCATTATTAACCAAATTGACAAAAATCAAAAATTCAAGTGAATTTCTGTTATAGGAGTCATAAGGAATAAGAAAAAAATTTGGTATGATTTTTAAGTCTGTTTTCTTTGAAATGCGAGACAAAATACTGAAACAGTTTGACTTTGATTTTCAAGTTTTTATGCATTGAGCGATAACTTTTTTTATCTTCCTGTCAATTGTCAATATAAAAGCGTGGCAATACTCAAAACCTCTTGCAGGTGATCTGACGTCAAAATATTGACGTTGAACTTAATTTTAAAACTGAAAATTAAGCTCCAAAATCTCTTGTCCCCATTTACCCCAACTGACCCTACTAAATATTTATTTAATATATTTCGAATTTATATCAGTAATGAAAACTTGTTTTGGAAAAAAAAATATTTAAACAAAACTAAAGTATAAAAATTAATTTACATTTTAATTTATTTTTATTTTTATTAATTATATTTATGACAGTTTTTGTTAAAAATTAATTATAATAATAATATAATTATAACAGGCCTCGGATCAACTTTAAGACATAAAAAAAGTCGATTTTTTTTTATTTTAACAAAATTTAATTGGTTAATTAATATTTTGCTTTAAATAACTAATGTTATTAGATGTATTAAATTAATTTTTATTAATTCTGTAATGAGAATAATTCTATAATGAATATTATCAAGAAAATTTATTTCGATTATTTCAGAATCGAACTAATTGTAAGACAAATTTTCAAAATTTTATTTAAGTAGGACAAATTTCCAAAAAAAAAAAAAAAATTCTTAAAGTTCCATTTTTATAATTTTTTAAAGTCTCCTAGATTTAAGCAATTTATTCGAATTAAAAATTTTGTCATAGTTTTTTGTTTTGATGGTTAAAAAATTTTTCAAGCAATTCTTAATCAAGTTTTACAGATTTTTAAATAAAAATTTTTTTTAAATAATAATTTTTGAAGATTTAAAGTTGAAATTTTTAGAAATAATTGAATTTCAAAAGATTTTTGTTAATTTTCATACAATAATTAATTTTTACAGAACTAAAAATAATTTATCAAATAATTTTAGATAATATTTTTTAAAAGTTATTTAATTTTCAAAGATTTACAATTTTGATTTTTGAAATTAATTAAACTTCATGTGATTTTTAATTAAATTTTTTTTGATGATTTCACTAAGAAATTTATTAGAAATTGCAGACAAAAATACAATAATTTGAAAATATTAAAAGTGAAAAATGGTTTGAAATAATTGAATTTTTAAAGAATATTATAAAAATCATTTAAAATCAATAAATTTTAGAATAGTTAGAGTAGAAATTTTTAGAAATAATTATTAAATTTTAGGAGGTTTTAAATTAAAATTTTTGAAAATAATTTTATATAACATTTTTTAAAAGTAATTGAATTTTCAAAGATTTACAATTTAGATTTTTGAAATTAATTGAACTAATTGAAAGTGATTTTTAATTTAAATTTTTTTTGATGATTTCTGTTACTAAAAAATGTATTAAAAATTGCAGACAAAAATTCAATAATTTGAAAACTTTTTAAGTAAAAAATGGTTTCAAATAGTTGAATTTTCGAAGAATATTATAAAAATCCTTAAATATAATTGAATTTCAGGAGAGTTATAATTAAAATTATTAAAAAAAAAATTTAGATGGAAAATTTTAGAAGCTTTTAAATTGAAATTTTTGAAAAATAATTGAATTTCAAAAAGATTGTGTTAAATTTCAGACAATAATTATACACTGAAAAAAAAAATTTATTTGATTCAAATACTCGATTACTTGAGTATTATCAAATAAATATTTATTTGAACCAAATAATTTTTATTTGAATTAAATAAATTGTATTTGAACCAATAATTTCTGTACTTGAAACAAATACCATTTAATTGACTTAAATAATAATTATTTGATACAAATAAATATTTGTTTGATAATAGTCAAGTAATCGAGTATTTGAATCAAATAAATTTTTTTTTGCAGTGTAATAAGAGAAATTTTTAGTGATTTCTGTTGATGAAGAATTTATTAGAAATCACATAAAAAAAATTGAATTCCAAAAGTTTTTAATTGAAAAATATATTCAGCTAATTGAATTTTCAAAGAATATTATAAAAATTATTAAAAATAATTGAAATTTTTGCATATAATTAAATTTCAAGTGATTTTGAATTAAAAATTGTTGGTAATTTTATTTGCTAATTTTTTTTTAAATTATAAAACAATTATTAAATTTCATAAAAATTTTAATTGAAAAATAGTTTAAGATTAATAAATAAATTAATTAATTAATTAAATTAAAAATAGTTTAATCTTAATTCAAAATCAAATATTGTAAATAACGGGTTTTTTCTATTACTTTTAAACACTAATTTTCTCAAAAACTAAACGTGTGCTAGTGCATTTTTCTTTGCATATTTTTATTCAGTGTGTTTATTATGTCTAAATATTTTGAAATACACATCTAAATTTGAAAGAATTTTTTAATATCTTTATTTTCAAATAAAAATAATAAGAAAATTAACAATACTTAAAGTATCGTGAAATCATTAAAATAAAGAAATAATAAAAAAATAATAATTTTTATGTTATTCTTCAAATACGACGTTACAATTTACAGTATTAATATTATATTTTTTTCGCAAAAACTGTCGCTGATAAAATATATCTAATTGACTTAAACAATTAAAGTAAAAAAAACAAAATTTTCCTGTATAAAAATTTGAAAGAATTTAAAAAAATCATTTGAGATATATACGATGATTACCAATTTTTCGAAACTTGGGACTAGTTAATTTCCCGTCTGTTTGTAGCCAGTTGGGTGTGGTGAAAGCAATGAGTACAAAAATAAATCCAATCATTGTAAGGCCAATTGCCACATTTCCAGTGCGTGTCTTCCCCATTTTATCACTTCACTATTTTTTTTTTTAATAAAAATAAAATTCCAATAATTTGTTTCAAATGTTTTAATTAAATAGTAACAGTAAACAATCGACGAACAATCCATTCACGCATTAACCTATAGTTTCTGCTGCTATTTTGGAGTGTAAAGCTGATTCATAATTTATCAAATGTCAGAGTTGGGAAACTATAGACGTTTGAAATAAGAGGTTTTACGTCAGTTTACGTTGAACGTGAAAATTTACGTTTAAATTTTTTTACAAAAAACCCAATTAAACTATTAATACTAGAAAAAAATTGAAACAACAAACTCAAAATACATGAAAAATTCTGTTAATTAAATAATTTTAACAAGATATAAAATAAAATATATCTGGGTCATTCCATTATATTATGACCAAAATCGTCATCCATTAATTCAAAAAAATATATTATATTAATAAATAAAGTAGAATGATAAACAAATAACAATTAAACCGTGTTATAATGAAAATAATAATAAAAAATTAAAAGAAGAAAAAAAAAAGGAAGCCAACGCTACGCGGTATTCCCAAGCGGTCACCCATCCAAGTACTAACCGCGCTCAATTGTGCTTAACTTTGGTGATCAGACGAGAACCAGTGCATTCACAGTGAAATGAGCGTTGGCTGAAAATATTATTTTCACTAGTTGGGAAAATGGTTTCGGGATTTCTCTTGGGAGCGTGGTTAAAACGCATGGTTATTATCGAATCGCAATTCGGATCTAAAAGTCATTTAATCAAATTTACAAATTTCAGAGTGTCTACTAATTTCGTTTGACAAAATTCCCGGTTTATTCCAGCTTTTTTTTTTTCTTATTTTTCCCGGTTTATTTTTTTTTTAATTTAAATTTATTTTAAGTATACACTGAAAAATTTTTTTTTTTTAATTACTCAATAAGAATGTTTTAATACAGTAGAACTAATTTAAAAAAAAATTCAAAGTTACTTAAAAAAAAATAATTCAAAATTACTTAAAAAAAAAAAAAAAATTCAAAGTATGATTCATGAAAATTATTCGAATTGAAAATTTCGACAAATATTTCAAAATAATTAAATTTTCAAAGTACTTGATTAAAATATGAGCGTTGCCTGAAATATTATTATTTTCATAAATCAATAAAATGTTTCATTATTATGTATTGACCATCAAATTTTTTTTAAACAATATTATGAGTCAAAATTTGTCTGTTTTACATAATTTGAATATTTTATACAAGTATATTGTTATAATTTTTTTTTTTTTTTTTTGCTTGAATTTATAAATTTTTTTTTCAATTCTTGATTTTTGGTATTATTATTTAAAATTTATACCGGTTTTGATTAATATTTATCATTTTAAAAAAAGTTTAATTTGTTAATAATTACAAACGATTTATTTACTTAAATAAAAAAAAAATTTTTTCTCGTTTTTCAATTCTTTTTTATTACTAATTATTTAATATAAAATCATTTTCAAAAATAATAATTCGAAAATATTATAGTTAAAAATAATATGGATAATAATATATATAAATTCATGCAAAAAAATGTTTTTTAACAATAACTTGTATAAATATTCAACTTTCTTTTGAAAAAATATATATATTATTTTTTAAAATAATAAATTATTATTCAAATAATTAAATTTAATAATAGGGTCAGAATTTCTCAAACAGATTACTTAAAATTTTCAAAAAATAATTAATTTTCAATATTAATAAATCGTTTTTTTTTTTACTTCGACTGTAATTAAAATTTTAAAAAATTTCATTTATAACTTTAACATAAACAATTTTTTTTCCAATATTTTCATTTTTTAGAAACCTTATTTTGCTAACAGTTAGAGTAAAAAATGCATTGAACATATAGAAAATTAAATTTGTTAATTTTAGATGATCAGTTTGAAAAATTCTGATCCAATATTTAATAAATTCAATAATAACTAAAACAATTATTAAAATAGTTTAAAAAAAATTACATTCAACAAAATTTTAACGATTTTAAATTAAATTAACTAAAAATGTTTGTTGATCAACTTTTTATCTGAATGTTTTTTGTCTTTTCTTTTTAGTATGGTATGAACCAACAGATTTTCAAAAAGCAACAAAAATATTCCAAACCGGATATAAATGGGAAAATGCATTACATTTTATTTCACCAAATAGAAATGAACTTTTAGCTATAGCAAAATATTTTGAAATTCCCATTCCAAACAATGAATTGAAAACGTATGAGACAATAAAACAAGTTGCAGAACTTTTAGCAGAACAAATTCCAGTTGTAATTACTACTTTAGGATCACATGGAGTTTTGGTAAGAATTTTACCAATTATTATTGATAATTAATATTATATACATTTTGAGAGAATTTCAGGTGAAATGATCAAGGTGAAAAACATTTTTCTCCAATTGTTCTCAAACTTAAATAATTTTTAACTCAATTTTATGGTAATTCTTCGTAAAAAAATTTTGTTTAAATTTATTTTACCAATCGAAAGAAAGTCAGGAAAAAAAAACTTTTTATTTCATTATACCTATATAAAGGAATTCCACGGGAAATTTTCATTAAAATTTTTTTTTGCCCGAAACATTTTTTTTTCGAAATCTAGATGAAAAATAAGAAAATACGTATTTTCTTATTTTTCATGTAGATTTTGGAAAAAAATGTTTGAATGAAAATTTCTCGTGGAATGCCCCATATTGAACAAATTTTTTTATTTCATAATATTCAATTGAAAAAATTATCTAAGCATGAGAGCATTTGAAAAGAAATCTTTTTGTCATCATAGAGAAAAATTTTAATCCTATTTGCATTTTTGTAGATTTACAATTTTTTCTAAAAATATTAATTTAAACATATAGGTTACTCGAAAATCTTCAGAAAATCGTGCATTTTATAATGAAAAATGTCAATTAATTGAAAATGAGGATATTCAGTCTCATTTATATAAACCACTTTCACAAATGGAAAAAGATCCAATTCATCATAATAGTGTTAGTGGTTGTGGTGATTGTCTCGCTGCTGGAATAATTGTTGGAATATTAAATAAATTTACCGAAGCCGAATGCATTTTACTTGGTCTTAAGGCAGCAGCTATTTCATTTAAATCTTTTGAAGCTGTACCTGAACAACTTTCAACGTTACAATTCAGTGAATAATGTTTATATATAATTCAAATAGGTTTAATTTAGAAAAATTATTTTTAAAAAATAATTCTTCTAATTTTTAACATTCATTTTAATTCATATAATGGGGATAATTTTTATACGTCTTATAGGAAGAAAAAAATTTATTTGATTCAAATAATCGGTTACATATGACTATTGTCAAATATTTATTTGTATTAAATTATTATTTGAGATTGTATTTGTTTCAAAAACAGAAATTACTGATTTAAATATAGTTTATTTAATTCAAGTAAATATTTATTTTATAATAGTCAAGTACACGGAAAGAAAAAGTTTTATGAATATTTGAATTCGGTGTGAAAAAAATATCAATTTACTAATTTTGAGTATTTTTTAGTTTTTTTAAAATCAATTTTAAGATTTTTGAAGACTTTTTCGATAAGTGTAGTAATTTATTTTATATTTATCGAAAAAGTCTTGAAAAAAATTGATATTTTTTTCACACAGAATTCAAATATTCTTAAAACTTTTCCTTTCCTAGTAACCGATTATTATTTGAATCAAATAAATTTTTTTTTCAGTGTATTAGAAAAATCTGTACTCAATGTAGGGTCAAACTACTGAAAATCATCTAAAAGTCGTTGGCTGGCTTATTTTTAAAAAATCTAGTTTTAATATTTTGTGAAACTCTTTTTAAATTATTATTAATTCAAAGTTTTCAATTTATTATACATCAAAAAATGATGAAATTATTATATAATTATTTTATTTTAAGATATTAATTCAAATTTGAAAATTTATTGAGTAAAAAAATTTGGGGCTTCGCACATATTTTGATAATCGATATAATTTGCCTGATATGAAAATTTGGTGAGGATATTTTGCTCCGTTTCGGAAATAATAAATTTGAAAAATTTTTACTTTAAAAAGGTTAATTCTATGACTTGTAGTTGGCAAAAAATATTACATTTCTCTCTTTTTTTATGAGAATAGAAAGAGATGTTAAGTTTAAATTCTTGTGATAAAGTTTTAGAATTTCTTTGCACTTTTCTTCTCTCTTGTTCTAAGTATAACAAATTTAGAAAATAAAATAGCCAACTTTGTTCATTTTCACTATTTTTGAAATAACTTTCTTGGAGAAAAATAAAAAAATATCCGGGGCTTCGAAAATTATTTAAATAGACACTAAATATACATACACTAAAAATTTCGCGTTAGTCCCAAAGCTATTTTCGAAGATAAAGCGAATTAAAATTTTCTTATTTTTGAACTTCATATTTGGTATGTTTTTATTTAATTTAAAACCCTATATACTTTTAATTCATATTTTAAAATAAATAATTAAATTTTTAATAAAATTATTTTCATTTCGTGATCTCGATAACTTCAAAATCATTCTTGCAAAGTATTATAATTTTTAAAAATTAGTCAACAACAACTTTAGTTGAAATATAATGGATTGACCGATAAATATTTTTCTAACAGTTTTATATTTTTATAACTATTTAAATTGAAGATATAATCTATTAAAAATATTCTCTAGAATAACTAAATATTATTGGTTATTCTAAATAAATTTTTTACAATTTTTACACACTAATTGTTAGAGTATTTTTAAATGTATATTTAATTATATGTACTGTTGAAAAAAGAAAGCAGAAATTAAAAATAAAATAAAATACAGGACAAAATCTGTACTTTTATTATAACAAAGACTAAAAACTATAACATAAATTATGTTTTAATTTATTCACAACGTATAACATAATATTATTCTTTTGATTTATTACATTCCAAGTTTTCTTTATTTAAAAGTTCACTAGTAATTCCTACTTTTTTCAATTGTTCAATTAATTCGCCATTCTGATGCATTTGTAGTAGTATATCACATCCACCAACGAATTCTCCGTTTATAAATACTTGAGGTATCGTTGGCCAATTTGAAAATGTCTTTATTTCTAGATAAAAGAGAAAAATAATTATTACAATTATATTAAAAAAAAAGAAGTGTCAACAAAAATATTCCAAAGACAGGTCTGATAAAAATTATGATTTTTTTTTTTATTGAAATCAAATTTATTGTTACTTAACAAATTTTTCAAAAGTTCATTTTCAAGTAGTTTGTTTTTTAATAAATACTTAAACGATAAATTATTTAATAATATAAATATTTTTATTAAAGAAAATAATATTTTTGAATTAGAAATTAAAACTCTCTAACAATTCATGTTTTTTAAAATTATTAATAGAGTAAGTGCATCAATTACGGCACGTTCATAAAAAATAATTATTATTACTATTATATTTAATATAACTGTTGCAAAATGATTTAAAAAATTTATTTTAATCTTTTTTTGATACAATTACTAATAAAAATGCACATTTAAACAATTATTAATATTTAATTATATGAGATCAAATTTTTTCCCTCGCCGTAATTGAAACATTTTTAAGATTTCCATTGGCTTCAATTACGGTGGGCAAAGTATCTTTAAAATACAAGTAATTTTAGTCACCGTAATTGATACAAATGCGCCGTAATAGAAAATTATGATAATAAGTTTTAATTTCTCATATTTGTTTAAATAATCGATTTTTATAAAGTTAAATTTTTTTTTAATATCTAAATAACATAAGCTTTTAGTTTAATAAGTCTTAAATTTAGTTTATACAATGAAAATGTTGAATTTTCTATTTCAAAGGTGTTTTGACTCGAATCGCGCCGTAATTAGTGCATTTACCCTAGTTTTTTTTATCAATAAATTATAAAAAAAATATTTTTTTATGTAAACACTTTTATAATTTTTCGTGTTAAATAAAAATTGATTTCTAATTGTTGATTATAAACGTTGCGTACTTCAGCATCGTAATAACTTTGTAATAATTTATAGTAAAATTTATCAAATAAATCAATCGATGCTTTTTTAAATATATTCTATTAACACGAAGCTAAAGTACGCAACGTTTATATAAACAATTTTTAAAGAAATAATTTTTTGCCTAAAAAATATGTTTTTATAATTTGTTGATTAATGAAAACTACAAGAAATATTTTTTAGGCAAAAAATTATAGAATTTTTCATTTTAAAAAATTATTTCTTTAAAAATCGTTTATCATAAACGTTGCGTACTTCAGCTTCGTCTATTAACTTGTTGTGATAGTTTTGACAAATTTGTTTCAATAAATACTTCAAAAAGTTGTTTAAAAATTTTTTTTTGTAAGATAAATAACTTTGGATAAAATGTCAGTAGAGTATTTGCCAAAAGGTTAAAAAATGAATTTTAAAAGTTAGAATTTAAAAAATTGAATTTGAAAAATATATATTAAATATCAATTTTAAAAAAATGTTCAAAAAAATTTTTAATATTAAGAACTCTGACTTAAATCATTGCAGTCCTGTCCAAAGATATAAGGATTTATTAAATTTATTGAAAAGATTTAAAATAAATAATTTAATGTATTTACCTTGCCTGAGATCTTCGTCTTGAAGAACATCATGAGCATTGTATTTTACTCCATGCATTCGTAAAATTTGTACTACAGCATTACTGAAACCACATTTTGGTGCTTCAGGTATTCCTTTCATAAAAACAACAACCTTGTTACTCTGTTTAAAAGATAATTTTATTTTATTTAAAATATTCAATTTTTATATTCATTAATTTAATTTATACCTTGATTATATTTTCAATTTCTCCTGTCTTTGTAGCAAAATTACGGATAACATTTGAAAAACGAAAAACTTTGGATGAGAACATTGTGAATTTTTGGATTTAGGTAAATTAATATCTTTTTATTTATAAACTATTACGACTATTATATTAATGGTTTTAAGTAGCACATGGGGTTATGTAGTTTTATTTGAAAATGATAATAGCAGGGTTGGGAAGTTAATGATAGGAATGATGGTAATGGCCAATGCACAATTGGAATCTGAAATACTGCGATACGCCATCTGGTGACGACCTCGTTGTGTCAGCCATTTTTCGTTTCATCCTTTTTAAAATATATGTAGAAGAAAGAGATAAAAAATCAAGATGGCTGACGCAACGAGGTCAGTTTCCCCATAATTCCCTATGATTTCAGATCCCAATAGCTTCATGAAAGTCGTTCGTGGCGTATGAGATAGAAAAGGACACGAATATATTTTTGTCCTTTTTTAACTCATGTTGCGCGACGTTAAGGTGCTTTTATACCTCCGATATTTTGGACGAGTGAATCGATAGAATGGTTTTCCATGTCCGTGAAAATTCATGCCACTGAATATGAATGGCTCTATTAAAAAATTCCATTTTTACGAAGTTTTTAGTAAAGCCAATCACATACAGTGATGTGAATTTTCACGGTTGTGAAAAACCATTCTGTCGATTCACTCGTCCAAAATATCGTAGGTATAAAAGCACATTTATTCTGATATTTTGAAACAATAAATAATAATAATAATAATAACAATAATAAAAACTAATAAAACTATTATAGAAGTGTCACGACTTTTCAAAATGCCGTCAAACTGGAAGGACAGCATTAAATGTGCTATGACAAATATTCCATTTCCACTGTGAAAATGGAATATTGTAATTCCTGTAATACCTGTACAGGGAGATCTCGCACGTAAAACTACTAGGCGATGTGAAAATGGAATTTTGTTGGAGTCAATCAAATTCAGTGATTCTCCGTGAAAATGTATCGCTCGCCGAAAACCAAGAAGGTATGTAAACATCTTTATACAATTGGGTGTATGTTATAGGATTCGTTACGAAAAGATACCAATGTCCTCAGTAACCAAAGTTTCCATTTGACATTTTCCATTTATCATAATTCTCGGACAAATTCTGCATCCTGCTCTAGTAAAAATTTAGTGACATTCTAGTTAAAATTAAAAGTTACTATAAAGTCACTAAATTTTCACTAGAGCAGGGTGCAGTATTTGTCCGAGAGTTATGATGAATGGCGAAAAACTCATTCTTCCGAATGTGTTGACGGTTATACGATTCCGGTCACGTTTATATTTTGCATTCTCCCTTTTTACTTAAACGGTAACGAAATCTCAATCATAAACGGAACAATGAGTTAGATAAGGATAGTAAGATATACTATCCTTATCTAAAGGAAAGTATTATAATTTTATCTTTATTACGTCCTGCCACCATTAGATGGCAGAAGCATGCAAGGAGCACAAAGTCGAAACTGTCATTATATTACTTTCCTATTTCCAATTTTGCGATCGCATTTTTGCATGGATTCGAAAAATCTTTCGGATTTAGGAAATTTATAAAAAATCTTGACGAGAATTGTGACTAATGGCGAGTGGGGCCAATGGAAACCATCCGTTAAACTGAAAGGACAGTATTAAAGTCGGTTCTACAATGGGCACGTTTTTACGTGAACGTGTACGTTCCATGTCGACGTCACCCATTTGCAGAACATTGTGACGTCAGCACGTACACGTTCGCTTACAAACGTGCCCATTGAAGAACCGAATTTAAAGCTGAGTCCAGAATAGGCACGTTACGCGGTACGTTATAACGTTAACGTGTGATGTCACACATTTGAAATAGCATTGTGACGTCAGCACGTTAACGTTATAACGTACTGCGTAACTTACCCATTCTGGACTCAGCTTAGGCTGGTTCCACAATGGGCTCGACGCAAGGTAAACGCAGCGTTGACGCGACACATCCCCATTTCATTAGCATTGGGATGCATCGCGTCAACGCTGCGTTTACCTTCCGTCGAGCCCATTGTGGAACCAGTCTAAAGTCGGTTCTCTAAGGCCCTCTCCAGAATGGAGCTAAACGCAACGCAGACGCGACGCATCGCAATGCTAAGCAAATGGGGATGCGTCGCGTTTGCGTTGCGTTTAGCTCCATTCTAGAAAGGGCCTTCTGGACACGTTTGTAAGCGAACGTGAACGTGTACGTGCTGACGTCACAATGTTCTGCAAATGGGTGACGTCAGCACGGAACGTATACGTTTACGTACAAACGTGCCCATTGTAGAACTGACTTAAAGATAGATAGATATATGAGATAGAAAAGGACACAAATATATCTCTGTCCTTTTCTAACTCATGCATCTCGTTTGCGAACGACTTTCGCGTAGCTGTTCTTCTTTGGCCTTTATGCAATTGGGTGTATTGTTTTTCAAGATTTTTACGTATAACCCACACAGCATTTGAGACAATGCAGATGCAATATTGCTGAAATTTTAGTTGCTGTAGGGGAATATTAATATATAAATGAAGTTTGTTACCTACCCATCCCTGCTTCCATGTTATGAATGTGAACTAAACTTAAGAGGTGGGAACGGTGAAATTTCAACTTATCGATATGAATGTTGTTAAAAGATGTCAATTTTTTTCTGTCATTATTTAGGATCTAAAATTATTGTAAAGTATCAAAATTAAAAAAAAAAACTTTTTTGTCCATTTTAGAAATTTTATTTTTTGAAAATATTTTCAATTTTTAAAAATCCATACGATTGAATGTTCAGAATCATGAAAAAAGTGTATAAAAAAACAGTAATGAAAAATAATAAAAATTGCCACAGAAGTTTAAATTTTTAGTTTTTGAAAATTGCGAGGTTTATTTAAAAAATTATTAAATGAATTAATTGTTTTTCAATTTCCTATCATTATAGTTATAAATATTTAATATTAACAGGAAAAATTTTTAAAAAATCATTTTATATAGGTATGATAAATATTTCTTCTGAATATAAAATTATGAAACTATAATAAGTAACGAAGAAAAATGTCAATTTTTAAAAAATATTTAATTTTAAAATAACTGTATTTTGTACATATTGTTTGAATTATTGAATTTCAATAACATTTCTTATATATTTACATATACCAAATATGTTTAATAATTGCCATAATGTTTTAATCTATATAAATAAGCGTGACCCTTATTATTAGATACACCTAAAAATCCACTGTTGGGTGAAAAGTCAATAGTTAAAGGATTCCATATTTTTGTTTGAAACGTAGGGAAATTTGAAAATACTGTAAATGATGGCAAATGCACTAATTTAAATGCATTTTTCTTTTTTGACGAAGCAATTGCTAATATTTCTGATGTTGGATTAAATTTTAAACTAGTAATAGACGTAACTAAATTTGTTATCATTTTTAAAGGTGTTGGATTTTCTGCCTTTAGCATTGTATTCGTGTCATAAATATTGACAACACCTTGTTTACTACCTGTAGCTGTAAATTGACCACTAGACGAAATTGCTATCGATGCTGCCGATAAACATCCATCATCAATTGCTCGATGATTACACATATGATTTCTCATGTCCCATACATACATTTCAGAACATTCTGTAACAATAATAACAATTTTTTTTCTTTAAAAAATATTCCTTTAAATTAATAGTATATGGGGCATTCCACGTGAGATTTATATTAAAAGAAATCTTTGTCAAAGAATTTCAGAAACCGTTGAACACTCTTAATTTCTTATTTTTGGATCTGAATGAGCTTTCCCTCCTCTTTCAAAATTCGATAGAAAAATTTAAAATATTCAAAAATAACAAAATAACGTCCATTTTACTAAAAATATTTGTATAGGGTCAGTCCACTGACTTTCGTCTAATAGTGGTTGCGACCAAATTTTAAAAAAATCTAGTTTTAATATAAGTGAAACTCGATGATTCCCTGAGTTCATTAACCATAATATTATGGTAAAAATTTTATTCCCTTTAAAAATATTAAATATCAAAAGTAGGAGGTTCACAATGTGATTTTGTAACCTTAAATTTTTCAATTTTTTTAAAAACGCTATTATTAAAAAACTATTCAAAATTAGATGTTGGAACTCACCAAAAACATAAATCACTTTATTCTGCACAGAGGAACGAAAGAATTATTGCAAAAATTTAGTATTTTTGGATGATATACGATTTTTAAAAAAATTTTATTTAAATATTCTCAAGATTTTTATTTACTTATAACTTTTTTGTCGGTGCTCCGAAAAAATTGAGGTTTTGCACAAAGATTTTTTATAATATTCTTTACCTTCTATTAAAATCTTACGAAGGTGTTTTGCTTCGTTTTGGAGATATTAATTTTCAAAATTTTTTATTTAAAAAGGTTAATTAAACGACTTGAAGTTAACTAACCAAATTCAAACTGCTCCATTTTTTATAAAAATATATTAAAATATAGCGATTTGAAATTGGTCAGTTAACTTCAAGTCTTTTAATTAACCTTTTTAAATAAAAAATTTTGAAAATTAATATCTCCAAAACAAAGCAAAACACCTTCGTAAGATTTTAATAGAAGGTAAAGAATATTATAAAAAATCTTTGTGCAAAACCTCAATTTTTTCGGAACACCGACAAAAAAGTTATAAGTAAATAAAAATCTTGAGAATATTTAAATGAAATTTTTTTTAAAATCGTATATCATCCAAAAATAATAAATTTTTGCAATAATTCTTTCGTTCCTCTGTGCATAATAAAGTGATTTATGTTTTTGGTGAGTTCCAACACCTAATTTTTAATAGTTTTTTAATAATAGCGTTTTTAAAAAAATTGAAAAATTTAAGGTTACAAAATCACATTGTGAACCTCCTACTTTTGATATTTAATATTTTTAAAGGGAATAAAATTTTTACCATAATATTATGGTTTATGAACTCAGGGAATCATCGAGTTTCACTTATATTAAAACTAGATTTTTTAAAAATTTGGTCGCAACCACTATTAGACGAAAGTCAGTGGACTAACCCTATTCAATTTACTCAAAAATTATAAACTTTTTTTTGTTACAATTTTTTGGTAAATTGTCTTTATAGTAAAAAATATTTTCCATTAGAATTTAACACTTGTGTCCGATAATGGTAGAAAATTTTTTTTAAAGAAACATTAAATTTTTCCTAAAAAATACTTTCTAAATAAAACTTTAAAAGTACAAAAAATATTGTTCCTCTTCAAATGAAATATTTTCTTATTTTTCATAAATTTCAAAAAAAATTGTTCCAGTAAATAAAATTTTGAATACAAATTTCATGTAAAATATTCTATATTTGTTAATTTTAAAATTTTTGAAAAAATAACTATGATGAACTAAAAATGGAATCCACCAAAAATCAAGTTAATAACTTACCGCCATTTGTGATTAGTTTTTGACTATCCGGAGTAAAAGCAAGTGCGTTGCATTTTTTATTCATTTTAAAAGTGTAAATTAATTCTTTTGTGATACTTGACAATAAATGTATATCACCCAATCGTCCACAGACAGCTATGTATTTTCCATCAGGAGAAACTTCAAATTTCTATTTTAAAAGAAAAAGTATTTTCAAATTATTCGAGATATTTCAGATTATTATTATTATTATTTTTAATTTGATATTTTTTTTTTTGTAAAATAAATTTTTCTACTACAAACCTTCATGTTAGTTATTCCATGCGGTAGAGAAACTTTACGTGTGCTACCGCTTATTAAATCGTAAGTAAAACAATGCGCAAAACTCATAGAACCAACAATAATTTGAGTTCCATCTTTTAAGAATCGAGCTGTATTTATAGGAAATTTTTGAAACTTTAAACTGTGTAATTTATTGTTTTCTTTACCGTCGATCTGAAAAAAAATTATTGATTTGGTTGCTTGTTTGAGGGCGCATGAAGATCCCATAAAAATCATTAGTTAAAAATTTTAATTTAAAGAATTCTGTTACAAATAATTTTTTTTTTTTTGACGAATTTCCATTTTTCGAATTAGCATTTGATAAAATTAATTTTAAAACAAATTTTTATTTCACAGAATTTTTAGATAGCAAATTTTTATTTGATAGAATTTTTATTTCTCAGAAAATTTCTCTTTACACAATTCTAATTTAATCGAATTTTAAATTAACAAATTTATCATTCAATAGAATTTGAAGTGCTTCGAATTTTTAAATGTTAAAATTTCCAATTCACTGAATCTTGTCCAAATTTTATTTGTATGAATTATTATTTGTTAGAATTTTAAAAACGGAGAATTTTTATTTATCCAAAATTGCAAATGGCCGAACAATCGACAGAAAGATTTCGGCGCTGTTTTTAAAATTTACCAATCACGATTTTCTTGATAATTTCTGATTAGTTAATTTTAAAAATCGTGCCGAAATCTTTCTATTGATTGTAGGTACATTCGTCTATTAAATTTGCAATTTTGGACAAATGAAGATTTGGTGAATTAGAAATTTTTACATTTAAAAATTCGTAACATTTAAAAAATTCTGTTGAATGAGAATTATGCTAAATTAAAATTCGGTTTAATTAGAATTTTTTTTAAATGAAAAGTTGGGAAAAAAATAAATTCTGTGAAATAAAGATTCTGCCAATTACAAATTTGGTAATTTATGAAAAATTCGTTTAAAAAGAAATTCTGTTTAAAGGGTAATTCAAAAAATGAAAATTCGTCTAATAAATAATTATGTGTAAAATTCTTTAAATTGAAAATTCTATCTAATTATTTTTATGGAATAATTATGGATTCTGAAATTTTTCCATTAGAAAGCAGAAATGATTTTAATTTTTTTTTTCGAACTTTATTCAGTTTGTTAATATTTTACCTCAAAAAGAGAAAGCACTCCTGACGATCCAGCAACTAATGAAACAGTGGAAGTTGGATGAAATTGTATACTAGATACATAGGGTCCTTCCTGATGAGTTTTTCTATTAATATCAGTAACAGCTTTTAGATCTATTGTACCTTTTCGTAATTTTTTGCTTTTTGATATTACCGTATGGTTACTATGCTAAAAGGACAATATTATAATTATTTTATAATTTTCTTACTCTCTAAATTATTTTCAAAAATAAATTAATATTTGCAAAAATTGAAAATTACATACTCTTAAAATTTCACTGTCTGAATCATCGGAATCAATTTCTCTTTCCTTATCCAGTGTTGCCCATTTCGGCTTTCCATAAATTTCCTCGAATTTTTTACTTAAAAGTTGAGTATACTTTTTTTCACCTCCTGCTTGTTTTAGTTTTCGATTTTGTGCTTGAAAAGCATCTTCGACTCTAAAAAGTTGATTATTGTTACGTTGGTGAAGTTCACAACGTTTATGATCAATGATTTAGAAGAAAAATGAAAATTATTTTTCTATTAATAAATTATTATAATGTTTTGTATATGAACAAAATTTTGCAATGTTTCTACATTAAAATTTTTTTAAAAATTTGTAAGCAAAATTTTTTACTATTTTTCGAGTGAAAAATAGTTTTTATTAATTATTAATCCTGTAACGTCCGAGTAGAATATATTTGAATTGGTTTGATAATAAAAAAACGATAACAGATTAGACTCTCTGGAAGAGGAAATCAGTGTGATTTTGAAACGTTGGAGAAAATATTATTAAAATCCATTTGTCCGAATATTATCGTTTTTATTATGAAACCAATTCAAATAGTTTTTTATTGTTATAAAAAAGTTGTCTACGTTAAAATGTTTTGAACATTATTTAAAAAATAAATTTATAATAAATAATATATTTTTCACATTTAATTCATTCTAAGGTTCAAAATTCATCTTTTAACGATTTTTTTATTTTATTTTAATATTTTCGATTTTATCAAAAGTTAATAACGTTTTGAAAATACATAGGGTAAATGCACCAGTGGTGGATCAGGTACCAATGGTGGATCAACAGCGTTAAAAAGGTTAAAATAAGCTATTTCTAATTGAACTAAATGTTTATATCGTTTAGGGGAGGTGTATAGATAAGTTTTATGAAATAAAATCATTTGAAAATATTTAGGAAAACAAAGCAATACAACAATTGTTGATTTTATGCTTTTTCACATGAAATCTTAAAAAATAATTGTTTAGTCTAAATTTTTTTAATTTTTAGACTAGAAAGTAATCAATTCTTTCGATATAGAATACTTTTGGAAAAAAATTTACATCATTAAGTTATTTTTGTGTAGTGTAAAGGGGTAAATGATCCACGACTGGAGCAATGTCATTTTATTGTTGAATGGGGGTGTGAGGGGGTGTAAACGTTACAAGCAGGTCGAAAACTACACGATAGTGTCCTTGAAGACTTGTTAATTCATACTATTGTAAAGATTACCCTATATTTTTCATCTGAAAAAATCTGTACACCTTTAAAGTCAAAATTATAAATTTAGTAGGCTTAATTGATCCACCACTGGTGCAGTTACCCTATATATAATTTTGAAAACGCGATTTTTAAAAATATTTGTTTAAAAATCTTTATATTACGGAAAATTTCAAATGTTTTTATATAATTAAAGTAAAAAAAATGTCACATATTTAACTTAATATAATATTTTTAATGTACATAAATATTTATATTAAATTTAATATATATTAAATAATAATTAAGATATAAATACATTAATAAAATAAAGAACGATTTTTTTTAAAGATTTCTTTGAAATAAATTTTGTTATTTTGCTTTGGAAAATTGAATCTGTTCGTATTTTAGCGAAATTTGAATGATAAAATTTTAAAACTGAAAAAAAATATAAAAATAAATTTTAAGATTTAGAAAGACAAAAAAAATTTCGGATAAAATGTTTTACGATTCAGATAATCGAGGTTCCACTGTATTACAAAGTTATGAAAGTTTCAAAAATTAAAATAATAAAAAAAAATCTTTTTGGATAATTCAACTTCAAAATTACAAAATTGTTGACTTTTTAAAAATCAATAATTTTGAAAAGCATAAGTTGTTGGATAATTTTATTTTTAATTCAAAAATATTATTTTCTTTGATAAAAATATAAATATTTCTTGAATGCTTTTATTATTAAATTTATCGATTAAATATTTATTAAAAAAAAACAAATATTGATTGTAAATTTTCAAAGAAAATTAAGTAAATTTAAAATAATTTTTTTTATTTATATTACTTACGAATATTGATTATCGTCTTCATCAACCCAAGCTTTTTGTTTTTTCCTTGGCGAATCACTGATAGAATCGCAATCATCTTCATCTTCATCATCATTATCCGAATCAGAAATTTGTCGATTAGTATCAGAGTCACTGTCATCAATTTTCGTCACAAATGAATGTTCTTCTTTTACATTCGTTTTAAAATCATCATCACCCAAAAGATTTTCTATGACATCATTTGCATCGCCAAATACAGCTCTTTCCAATCTAATTTTAAATAAAAATTAAACCCTACTGATGTTTAAAAGAAACAATATTTCAGGAAGTAAATTAGAAAACTTTAATAATTATCTCAAACCTGGCTTCTTCTTCAGAATCATATACAGTTTTGTATTTTTTCTTCGTTAAGAAATTTGATTTTTCCACAATATTGTCCTTTGACGTTGATGAATTATTTGAATTCTTTCGCTGTCTTTTAGTTTTGTTTGTTTCCATATTATTTATTATAATTTATTTACAGATAACTTGATAAACTTTTATATTTTAATGAAAATAATACAATAATTTTTGTAAACAAATGTGAGACACGTGTGGTGACAGTAGGGTTTTTTTTTTAGGTTAGAAACATAGAACAAGGAAATATTAAGGTGCATTCACAGGTTCATTGCAATTTCATTCAGGGTTGGAAACTGCTATCGGATGGGGGACAGGTTACTTTAGCCAATCAAAAAATGATTCAGATGGTCTGTGGAAAAGTCCCTTAATTTTTTTTTTTTTTTACTTTTCATCGACCCAAACCTGGTTTTGCTTTGCCGCTATTTAAACGTGATTTAAACCATATTTATAAACAGTTTACTGAAAAAAAAATTGTATAACCTAATTTTTTTGAAAAAAATTTCGCCAGTAGAATTAGTTTTAAAATAATCGTAATAATCAAATGACAACCGTGAAAGAAAATTATCAAAATGTCTATGAAACGAATTACGCGTGTAATAGAGCTAGCAAACAAAAATAGTGCTGACAGAAAGGTAGGTTAACAATAAAATTTGTATTGTAATATATATTTTAGTATAAAATAATAATATTTTTTGATAATTACTTTTTTTTAAAAATTAAATAACAATCATATAAGTTCATTTTTTGACAAATGATATTCTATTGATTTTTTATAGTCAGCAGTGCAACAGTTGTCCGAGCTTTATAATAATAAAAATCTTTTGCTACAAATTACACAAAATAGTGTAAATAATGAAGAAAACACTACTTCATGGAATGATATTTTACATGCAGTTCATAAAATCGTCACTCAGGTAAAAGTATTATAATTATTACGTTAATAGTTTTTTTTTTCAATTTTGAAATTATTTAGAAAATGTAAATTTTTTTTTTTATTTTAAAATTAATCTACTTTTGTCATTTGTTACTGACATTACAAGTAAACATTTTTTTTTATCTTTTTCAACCTTTTATAAATTTTGTCACTTTTCTAATCTATTTTGATGATTTTTCACCTTTTCCACTTTTCTTGTGATAAAAATATATATACTTATAATATTCTTATAAATATTTTGAATCATATTCATAAAATTTGTTTTAATTAGAACGTTTTAGGTTTGTAATAAAAAATTGTGCAACAAAAGCATTTAGAAAATTGAAATTAATTTTAAAATAGGATTACTCTTAAAACCGAAATCAATTATTTTAGTTCTTGATTCTTACAGAGTTACAAATTGTTATTTTCTAAATATAATTCCTTTCACCCGTCATTAATTTGGTATTGTTTTATTATTTTATGTGACTGAAGTTCTGAACGTTCAAATGAATATGAAATAATGTTTTTGGTTTAGAAATTATTTAAAAATTATTACAGCAAAGAAATATAAAAAATTACATTAAACATTTAATAAATTTATAAATTAAGAATATTCCGAAATGTTTAATAGAAAGTTGGAAAAAAATTCTTTCTTTGGAAGGAATAAAATAACAGAAATTTATGTTATTAAATGTTGTTTTGTGGCAATAAACAACATATAATAACATAAATTTCTATGTTATTTTATTCCTTCCAAAGAAAGAATTTTTTTCCAACTTTTCATTTAATAAATTATTAATTTACTTTTGGATATAGAAAGCAAATTATTTTATAATAAAATTTGAAGTTTAAAAAGTAGTAAACAAATATTTCTTTCATTTGAACGTTCAGAATTTCAGGCACACTTTATTTTCAGAATTATACATAATGTAAATCTTAGCAGTTACTTTGTTTTTTACTATAGATTTTTTTACAAATGATCAATTTTTTTCACGATGCTGAACTACGCAAACATTTATTGATCAACGATTGGAAATCAATTTTTATTTAACACGAAAAATTATAAAATTGTTTACCTAGAAAAATATTTTTTTTTATAATACATATACACATATACACAAAAGTTTTATTAATTTTATGATATACTTTCTTCAAAAAAATAAAAAACTGAGAAATTGCAGCATTAGTAAATTGTTAAGAGAGTCGATTTTATTTTTTTAAAATCGATTTTTAAGCTATTTGTAAAAAGTATTTAAAAGAAAACTACTGGAAATTGTATGAAATTTTTTTTATCATTTTGTTTGTTTATTTTTGTATAATTTACAGTAATATTTGTAAAATTAAAAATAATTGTGACGTCGAGAATTTTCGAAATTTTTCTTTTATTTTAATTTTTACAGCTCATAATATTACATAATAAAAAAAAAAATAAAAAATTTATTTCTAGAAAAATAAACGCCTTTTTCAATAATTTTAAAAATTCCAAAGGAACTCGAAGTCAGTATCTCAATGACATAATTACGAGAAAAAGAGGAAGTAATTTTTTAAATGAAAATTACTGGAGATTTTTTTCCAAATCTTTCATTTTTTTTAATTAATATTTTTGTATAGTTTGAATATTTTACAGTAATATTTTTAAAATTAAAATTAATTACGTGTTTCTTCGGCAACAGTCCAACAACTGTTTTTTTTTTGTTTTTTGTCACCTTTTTCAGAAAAGAAAAATATTCACCTTTTTTGAGAATGAATGGATACTATGATGTGTATTTTATTAATTAAAAAATTAATTTTTTCAATAATTATTATATTTTTTTCTTTTAGCTGAAAAATTCATCACCATCTAATGATATAAAGAAAGCGATGGAAATTTTTTTACAAACTTTAATGTTTGCCAATAATACATTACGAACGCCCGATATAATATCATTTATTTTGCAAATCTTAAGTTCCCCCGAATATTTGTTTGCACAAGCAACATATTTTTCCGCTTTGACTACTTACATACTTCCTGTTGTTAAATATCAAAATAATATAACTCAAGAGCAATGGGAAGAGTTATTGGACCTCAGCGAAAATTGTTATAAAAATGAATTGTACCTTGGGAAAAAAGACAAAGTTTTAGAAGTAATTCAATTGATAGTAAAATATGGATGTTCTTTGTCAAAATTAACATACAAAACGAGAAAATTAATACCATTTATGGGTAAATATTTAGCTATACAAAAAAAAATAATCTAATTTTTTTTTTCTGAAAATTATTTAGTTAATTAAATTTTATTTTATTAACAAAATTTAATAGTGGATTTTAAATTATTTTTACAGAAGAAATTTTTGACGATATGAAAAGAAATGAAACAATTATTCTTTCTGGTCTTAAATTGGCAATTGTAGTTTGTCAAGAAATAGCCATTGAAAGTCGTCAATTATTGTGTAAATTTGGCGAGACTGTAATACCAAAATGCATGAATTTTCCTAAACTTGATGAGAAATATAAATTGTTTTTAATATTAATTCAAATTCATCATCCAATTGGAGCATCAGTGGACAATGAAATTTCTTATGTTATTGATAAGGATATTTGGAAAACTATATTAAATAATATGTGTATCATGATTTTACAAAATAGTAAAACTCAAACTCTCTCTGAAAGTTGTATTGATCTTGGATGTGAAGGTAATGAAAATGTTTCTTTTATTTTAAAATGACGTTAAAATTAAAAGCAATTAATTTAACAAAAATTAACAAAAATTTATAACTGCTAAAATAATTATTTAAAAAAAAGGATTTTATGTGAATTAATTTTTTCATATTCTTTTTAAAACATTTAAATTATTTAACAAATTTTTAACTAAAATTCTTCACTAAATTAATTATTTTTAATAACTTTAATTAAATTCATCACTAATTCAATTGTCTTAAAATATTTTAAATAGTTAAATTACCAAAAATTTTTAATTCAAAATCACTTGAAATTTAATTATTTGCAAAAATTTCAATTATTTTTAATGATTTTTATAATATTCTTCAAATATTCAATTATCTGAAAGCAATTTTTAATTAAAAACTTTTGGAATTCAATTTTTTTATGTGATTTCTAATAAATTCTTCATCAACAGAAATCACTAGAAATTTCACTTATTATAATTATTGTCTGAAATTTAACACAATCTTTTGAAATTCAATTATTTTCAAAAATTTCAATTTAAAAAATTCTAAAATTTAATTATTTCTGAAATTTCAATTGAAATTAATTTATTTTCACAATTTTCAATTAAAATGCAATTATTTTCAATATTTTAAATTCTGAATTAATTAAAGTTCAATTTTTTTCAAAAATTTCAATTCGTAATCAACTAAAATTCAATTATTTTCCAAATTTAAATTCAAAATCAATTAAAATTTAACTAAAATACAATTCTTTTCCAAAATTTTAATTCAAATTCAATTATTTTAAAAATTTTCAATTTAAAATCAACTAATTTCAATTATCTTCCAAAATTTCAATTTAAAATCAACTAAAATTCAATTATTTTAAAAATTTTCAATTAAAATTTAATTATTTTAAAATTTTACTATTTAAAATTACCTCAAATTCAATTATTTTCCAAATTTTTAATTCAAAATCAACTAAAATCCAATTATTTTGCAAAATTTCAATTAAAAATCAATTATTTTCAAAATTTTAAATTCTGAATTAATTAAAGTTAAATTTTTTTTAAAAATTTTAATTCAAAATCAACTAAAATTCAATTATTTTCCAAATTTTCAATTCAAAATCAACTAAAATTCAATTATTTTCCAAAATTTGAATTCAATATCAATTGAAATTCAATTATTTTAAAAAAATTTCAATTTAAAATCAATTAAAATTGAAATTCTATTTTTTTTTGAAAATTCAACTATGTGAAATTATTTTTTTTCCAAAACATAAATTATTTTTAGTTCTGTAAAATTTAATTATTCTCTGAAAATTAACAAAATCTTTTGAAATTCAATTATTTCTAATAATTCTTAATAATGTTCTTATAGAATTATTCTTATTACAGAATTAATAAAATGAATTTAATATCTAATTTAACATTAGTTATTTAAAGTAAAATATTTATTAACCAATTAAATTTTGTTAAAGTTGAAAAAATCGACTTTTTCGAATATAAATCGACTAAAACGACATTTCTTGTGCCTTAAAGTCGATCCGAGGCCTGCTCCTCCTTTATTAGTTTTCTAAATTATTTGAATTTCAGTTTTAAACTTTAAAATGTGAGTAATTAAAAGAAATTGCTACAATCAGTTTTCAGACATATAATAGAAGATCCCGATACAGCAAAAGAGATCTTTAATCAAATCGAGAGACAAAGCAGTGACAATGCAAAGAGAAGACGTATTTCTAATGAAAATGGATTTTTAATTAATATGATCGCTGGTTGTACACCTGAACTTGCCTTACCAATGTTACAAATTTTTGCCAAACTTTTTAAAAAATATCCAACTACTCTAAAAAAAGAGGAATTGCCATTATTTTTACAAACTGTGTCATCGCTACTCATGAAATCGAGTAGTTCACCAAAAATTTGTACAACTTTATACGAACTTGGAATTGCACTTGTTGATGTTGAAAATAATTTAGATTCTCAAGAAACAGCAAATAAGAATAAATTATTATGGAGCGAAATTTTGGACACAGTCACCAGGTATGTTATACCTATATATATACAGTTAAATTTATGTGAAAATTAAAATTACTAATTTAGAAAATTGTTGAAAATTAATTTCATTAGAATATTAGTATTTCAAAATTTAATTCAGAATCGCCACTCAATTTTAAAACTTTGAATTTAAATTTATTTGCCTTCGTAGTAAAATTTTAATTTACAAAACCTGGAATTTTTTTTTCCCAAAACCAGAAAGAAACCGCCTAAAAACTTTAAATTTTATTTCCAAAATTTTAATAGACATTCTGAATTTAAATGAATTTTTTCTTATTTTAATTAAATAATTTATCTTACACACGTCTTCAAAAAAAAAATAAATTATCTTTTCCAGCTATTTATCGTCAAAACACAATCAAGAATTGGGTCATCAATTTTTACAATATTTAATTGAAAACGACAGATTCATAAATTTGAATTCTTTACTAAAAATGTACACATCAAAAACAATGAATTGGTCTCTATTTAGTCTTCAAACATTATTAATAATATGCAATCATACAATATTACCAGAAACTATTCACGAATTTAATTCAAATTTAAATTCACCAAAAACAAATATGACTCCACTTGAAACTCAACTTTTGGAATATATCATAAATATTCCATGGAAAAAAATTTTAAGATTAGAATCGATACAAATTTTATCAAAACTATTAATTGGTTTAATATTAAAATCATGGGATAGAAATACAATACAAATTATCACCAAAGAAAATAAAAATGAAACAACATATAAATTAAATAATCTCACAGATATTGAAAAATGTTATTTAGCAACAAATTTTTCTATAAATATTTTTGATGAACCAAAAATGCAATTAAAACAGAATAATACAAAATATTTTGACAACAAAGAACAATTAAATGCCTTATTTTTGCAATTGGAAAATATTTTCAAAACAAATAGTAAAAGCGAATCAATAAGAATATTAATCGTTCAATGTGCATTAATTGCAAGAATAATCAGTGATTTAATTGAAATTAAAGTATTTGAAAATAATATTCACAATTTTCCTCTTATGCCTCTATTTCAAGAGAAATTCGAAAAAATCTTTCAATTTATAGCTGAAACCGATTTAACGACACTTCAACATAAAAATACTTTACATATTATGAAAGTTTTAAGAATTCTTTTTCAAGCAACAACTAATCATTCAATTAATCAAATTCTTATTGAATCATCGACAATAAATGTTAAAGCATTACAAAATTTATATTCATTTTTAAAATCTCGTGAATCTATTAATACTGAAATAAAATCACAGGAATTGATATTAAATATTGATATTGATTTTATTGGTAAAGATAAACAAATGGAACAAGCCAATATTGAAGAAGAAAGAAAAAGTATTGTTAAAACATTAATTTTATATTGTTGTATTGCAACTGATAATAATGCATTAATTGACATACAAGAAAATTTAATGCACAGTTTATTAAACAGCGATGGTTATGATTTTAAATCACCAAAAGATATTCAAGTAATATTAATTATTCTTGAAATAATTACTAACAGTGAATTATCAATACACACTGAAGTATCAGTTGAAATAATAACAAATTTACTAGAAGAATTATTTCAACATTTATATAAAAATCAAGAAATGGCAAAAAAATTATTAATTTGGTTACCAAAATTCTTTCAAATTGCCATTAAATATGAAGAAAATGTTTTTCATATTTTAAAAATACTCGAACAATTTCATCAACTTTTACAAGAAACAATGAGAGAGAGAAAAAAAACTTACGGTCCATTGATGTATGTGGAATTTTTAAAATGTTTAAAACAAATGATTTTAATTGATAGTTCATTAAAATATTTAAAACAAAATCAAACAATTGATTATTTATTGAATTACATTAATAATCAATTTTTTGTCGTACGATTGGAAGCCGCACATTGTGTATATCAATTATTTTCATCACAAAATATTGATTATGAATGGAAATTGGAATTTTTTGAAAAATTAAAAATACTATTGAACAATTCATTTGTTATTAAAGGAAAATTGGAAAATTTCGAAAAAGCCGATGAATTAATATCACGTGGTACAAGTATGTTGTATATTATATCGGCAATTATTTATGGATGTAATTTCTTAAAATTACCAGCACTTTTTATTCTTATTCATTTTGCTGCACAAAAAGGTGTTGATACACGAAATGTTGGAAAAATATTGAAAATCGTCACTAAAGAAAATAAAACAATAATTGAGAAAAATTTAAATTATTTATTATTAAGTTGGTGGAATATACAGGAATCATTTGATAAATTTCCCTATGAAGTCACTTATTGTTCAAATGAGGATGAATTTTACAATAATTTCATGCAAATATTACTTCCAGTTTTAATACAAACTGGTAATATTGATCAAGCAATAATTCTCTGTCAACAGCAGGAATTTAATTTCGAACATGAATTTGAAAATTCATTTGCAAAAATTATTGTTTGGTTATTGATGAAAATTACCAAAAATCCTGATAGTTTATCAAGAAATATTCTTTGTAATTTAGAATCAAATCAAAAGGAATTTCGTTCTGTACGAAGATTTATTGATTTACTACATGAAAATTTAGATGAAATTATTGTAAAACTAATCGTTGAATTACATGATGAAAGTTATATTTTAAATTTAATGGAAATTAATGTTAAATTTCCCGAAACATATTTTACACGTCTTTGCGTGAATGATGTCGATGCATGTTTATTGTATATGGAAAATAATTTTTTTCTCTCAGGTAAATTAATGCATTATTTAGGAAGTGAACGATGTGATATTTTACAAAAAGTTCTACTTCAATTGACAAAGAATATTTATGATAATATTGATGAATATAAATTGAAAGCATTTCATCAATATTTTTACTATTGCGATATAATTGCGAGGGAATTAAAAAGTTTTCAATTTAATGAAATTGCACCATTTTTGATACGTGATATTTGTTCGACATTAATTTATCAAATTGATGATGATAATCAATTTACTGAAATGATTTGTAAGTATTTTTATAAATTTCTTCAAATGTTTCTACCCGAACGTTCTTTGGATTTTAAGGACATTTTTATATTCTGCATTAAGAGTTTAATGAAATGTGTGATTAAAAATGAAAAATCATCAGCATTTTGTTCACTTGAATTTCTTATAGTTTGTCAAAAAAATGTATTTGTTGATATTATTGCAAATTTAGATTTTATTCCCAATTCATCGGCTTTTGAGGAAATGAGAAAAATACATAAAAGTTTGCGATACAATACAATGGAACATGAATCATTGGAAAGTGAAATTTGTCATTTTTTAAATTGTGATGTAAATTTCATTGATACAGAATGTTTAATACGTTTACGTAAACAATTATCATTGAGACGTGATGAATTAAAGGAATATTATCAAAAATTAGAAAAACTTCGTGGTTTTGCTGAAGATTGTGCATCGAGTAAATTACATCAATTGATACATAAATTAATAAAATTAATGGAATCGTCAAAATCTGAAATATCACAAGAGGCTGCAAAATGTTTAGGTTTTTTGGGTCCGGGAAATTTGTCAACAATGATATTATTGCCTGAAGAAATTAAACGAATTGAAAATACAAATCGATTTGAAATGTTGACGTATAAAATATTAATACTTTTGTCAGAATTAATAAACGATAGAAATATTGAAATACGCGAGGCAAGTGCAAATGCATTATACAATGTTTTATCATCATTTTGGGGACGGATTTTAATAAAAGAAAATTATTTAAAAGATTTCGAGGGCGTTATAAATAGTAATGAATTACAAAAATTGTTACACTATATTCGACCATTTATAACAAAATCAAGTGGAACTGATTCAATGGATATTGTATTATTGAATATTTGTTCAGAATTAAAAGACGATTCTTGGATTGAAAATGCAAGCGATGTTTATGGAAATTGGATTAAAACATTTGCATGTACAATTGCTAAATGTTATCGTAATTTTTTTATGAACAGTATTATACCAATTTTTCAATTGAGTGTACAATTTTGTGAGAAAATGCTTCCATTAATGGTGAATGTATTGTTTGATGATGGAAAATTAATTGACGAAACTTGTGGATTTATTAATCGTTTTTTTCATTATAATTTTCCCATTGACAATGAGAGAAATTCATTTCTATTGAAATCTGATGAAATGAAAAATAATCCCAAATGTAGCTATGAATCGGTTCATTGTATGTTGAATATTGTGAATTTCATTTGGATTCAATCGGAAAGAATTGTGAGTTTGAATTTTGATTATTTATCAATTGCTAAAGGTGCACAATTTTGTTCGGCATATTTCACATCTGTATTGTATGCAGAACTTTGGTGTGATTCATTTTTAAATGGAAATCGTGATATGGAAACGAGTACATTGATTGATTATATTATTGAGAAAGATTTGGTGCGTGGAAAAATTCTTCAAGATATTGTTCGCGAGGCTAATGTTCGTATTGGTGATCCAGATGCAATTCATGGATGTGGATCAATGCATTTACTTGATTCAGCGTCACGAATACAACGTTATGTTGATTTAAAACAATGGGATAAAGCAATACTCATGCAGGATATTGAACTTTCTTGTGGAATTGAATCAAACAGAGGTGAGTAATTCAAAAATTGTCTTCGTACTTATTTACTAAAATCTACTATTTGATAATTTTCTTATTATTTATTTACAATCTTTAATTTAATATACATACAGGGTTGCTACGAAAGACTAATATTAAAATTCCATGACTTTTCTAGGTTTTTCAGTTTCAAAAAAAATTCTAGATATATAAATCTATCTTGACGAATTTTTAACCAATTACAACAAAAAATACAAAATATTTTAATTAAATTAACAATAAAATATTCTGTAAATTAATTTATTACAAGAAACCGCAAAATGAAATCATTCAAATTAAAAATAATGATTTTTTTCTATGTTTCGATGTCAACAAGATCGAATTTCTATTTAATCAGATTGTATAAAGTAAAATTTTTAATGAATGGAATTTTCTTACCGAATAATTTTTGTTTAATTTAATTTTTCATTTAATGAAATTTCTATATACATCTGTTTTTTCATATATTTCTATTTTAGCGAATTTTTATTTAACAAAATTTTTTATTAACAAATTTTCTATTTAACGGAATTTTCACAGATATTTATTTCAAAGAATTTCTAATTAATGGAATTTTTATTTAATTTAATTTTTCTATTGATTTTATTTTACTTATTTGAATTTTTATTTAATCGAATTTTCACTTATCTTAATTCGTATTTAGCAGAACTTTTATTTAGCCAAATTTTTATTTCAACTAATTTTTAATTAATAGATAGCATTCGCTTATATAAAAACTATTCAAAAGGGAAATTCGATTGAATCAGACTTCGGATCCACTTTAAGATCCAAAAATTCTCTCATAAAAAATTTATATAAGATCCATTTTTCATAAATGGAGTAAAATAAATGACGCTGAAGTTACCAACATTGATTCGACGAATCAACGAACGAATTTTTTGTTTTCAGTTTAGTTTAAAGGCCAAGAACCAATTTTTTTTAATTGAAACTTCTTTATTTTGGTCCCAAATACATCCTTAAACACTAAAAATCCTCAACCAAGGCGGGGAAATATTCAATCAGAGGAAAAAAAATTCTTTTCGTCGATTCAACTCGTTGGTAACTTTAGTGTCATTAAAATAATTAAAAACAGTTTTAAAATAATTTTCAAAAATTATTCAAAATTAAATTTGTTTTAGGGTTTGTTTGTTTGTTTCTAAGAGTTTCTATTTCTTTAAATTTTCATTTTTTAAAACGATTTTTTCTCAAATTCTCATTTTTTTTTAAATTTATTAATTTTATATATTTATTTACTTTTACTAATTGTATAAAACTTTTCATTTTTTCCGCAAATTCCCTTCTTAATTTGACAATTTCTAAAATTCTCGATTTTTCCCGAAATTTTTTTTTAGAATTTCTAATTTTTTTTTGGAATTTCTTAAAATTTTTTTTCATTTTTTGTATTTTCGTTTTTTGAAAATATTTTTTTTGTATTCTCATTTTTTTTTTTTTTTGAATTTTTCTTTATTTATTTAGAAATTAATTTATTACAAACTATTCCAAAATTTACAATTTTTCCCGTAAAGTATTTTCTTTTTGGAAAAATTTCTAATTATTTTTATATTCATTAATTAATGTCCTATTATTAACATTTGCGGGATAATTTTTTCACAAATGTTAAAATTTTATTGTTTATTGCGAATAGAACATTTTCACATTAGACTTTTATTTTTAAGATAATCTCGTATTTTAAAACTGTAATATTTAATGTTTTATTATAAGTTAAAAACTTAATGTCAGTATAAAACTAAAAATTTATTATTTATTTATTATTTAATTTATTAATTTTATTATTTAATAACGGAATGTTTTGAATTATTAGATAATTGTTCTTGTAAATGCAAAAACATTTTTTTACACGGCTACTTTTTCCTACTTATCTTTATTATCAAAGTTACTTTTTGATACTTTTTATTTACTAACTAAGGAGTTCGAAGCCTGAAACAAAAATAATTGAAAAAGAAGTTTAATTGTTTATACATTTGGAAATTAAAAAAAAATTTTTTTTAGATATGCTGCATATTCTGCAACAGACTGGCTTGTATTTTCTATTAAATCAATTTGCATCGAGTTTAAATGATGATAAAGTAAATAAGGAGAATAACGATTATAAATATGAATGCGCCTGGAGGCTGGGCGATTGGAATTTATTGGAACAGAAATCATCTTCTCAAATTTCATTAATTGAAGAGAAAAATCAAAGTTATTATCAATATCACTATGAAGCACTTAAATGTCTCAATGACAATGATAAAATGGGAGTGAAACAAGCCATTGACAATGCTCGTTGTTGTGTGATAAAATGTCTTCGTAACATTAGTCACGGTAAGTGAAAACTAAATTGTATTATTAATATAAAGAAAATTTTAATAATTCAAGGTTTTGTTATAAAATTTAAGAAATTTCAACGATTTTCAAGATTAAAAAAAAATTCAAGTACATTTTATGGATAAATTAATAAATAAATATTTCAATGTTTTAAATGAGTATTTCAAAACACGAAAATATAAAAAAATCTGATTTATTTTTTCGAACTCTGCTATTAACAGTTTTTTATAATAAAAAATTTATAAAAAAAATTTAATTTAAAAAATTTCTAAATTACCTAATTTCGAGAATAGTTAGTTTAGAAAAAAAAATTGATATTTAATATATTTTTTACAGAAAGCACCAAAGCCGTGTATCCAATGTTAACTCAATTGCAAATGTTACGGGAAATTGAAGAATGGAACAATACAAATTCGAATGATTACAATAATCGCATTGAGGAATTACAATATTATGAATACATAAAAAATAATGATTTTGAATTCGTCGAGCCATTGATATCACAAAGAATCGCTATTTGCAAAATTATGCAATCACACGTGATGGACGAGAAATTAAAAAATGTTTTAATTGACATGCATATAGATTTAGTTCATTATGCCGAACAAAGAGGACATTTTAAAATAGCTACTCGTACTTTGGGTCCGTTTTTTTCACTTATGAGAAATTATAATAATTTTCTTATATATAATTTTATTATTATATTTAATTTATTTCATTTAATTTTATCGTTAAAAGTAGATTATTTAATAAATTTGATTTTAATAATAAAATTTTTAAATAATATTTTTATGAAAAAAAAAAAAAAAAAATGGCAAATATTGTCAATAAATTGACATTATTATTTTACAGATTCTTTAGTGATACAAAACGATCTACCACAGAAGATAAAAAATAAATTATGTTACATTGAAGCACATTTGTCGTGGAATCAAAATAATCAACAGATAGCACAATTTCTTCTCAGACTTTTAATAAAAGATACATCTGTATCACCTAGTCTTAGAGCTCAGGCATTGTGTATGTTTGGAAATTGGATAGGAAAAACAGAATCGGAAAATCCACAAGTAAGTCAAATATCATAACTTATCAGAAATACAATTTTAAATGTTAATTTTTAATTTCAGTTTTCTTTATTTTTTTTTGTTTCAAATTTTATTTAAAATAAATCTTTTAATTTTCAGATTATTATAAAGCAATATTATCAAGAATCAATAAATACTTTTTTGTCTATTAAAGAGCCAACATCACATGATTTAATTAATTTATATGAAACACAAGCAGCACTTGCTCGATTTGCTGATATGCAATATCGACAAATTACTGAATATATCAAATCGCCACAATTTAAAACTCTAAAATCATTGGCAGAACTTTCAAATAGTATGACAGACAAAATTGATTCCAACGATAATGAATTGAGAAAAGCAATAACCATCTATCAACGACAGAGTAGAAATGATGCAGCGGAACTTGAGAGTTTTGAAAAGGATAAAAATACATATTTGTCCCTCGCATTGGAGTCAGTAAATATTTATACAATTTTTTTTTTATTTTTATCACGAATAAATTCTTGGGTTCATTTTTAAGGTTTTATATAAGATAAGATTTTGTTGAGTTTTTTTTATAACTACTAAACTAATGAATTTACGAAATTTCGTGAAAATTCCATTCAATTAAGAAAATTAATATGAATCCACTTATTATTAAATTTAAATGTTTTATTTATTTATACAGTCTTTTTTTTAAACTTTTGAATATTTTTACTTCTTTTTCAGATACTACTTGAAAACATTAGAGCAGAGTGGTGATCATGATTTCTTAATATTTCGTGTTGTATCACTTTGGCTGGACAATATGCAGCATCCAATTTTTAATTCAATTTTAGGGAAATATCTTCCAAAAATTGCGTCCTACAAATTTGTGCCTCTCATTCCACAATTGGCGCCACACATGAATATTGTGAATGATCAATTTACATCGAAAATTAATGAAATTGTGAGAAAATGCGCAATGGAACATCCACATCATACATTACCAGTATTGTTGGCATTAAAAAATTTAATGGCAGATTCGGAATTTTCCAAATTTCAAGAACCTAAAGAAAATGAGCCAACCGCACGTGTGAAAGCTGCTACAAAATTAATTAATCAACTATTAAAAACAAAAATTCATCCAATTATTGAAGAAATGTCACAACTTTCATATTCTCTTATGCATCTTGCTTATCTTGCTCTAGAAAAAAAACGAGGTACATGTTTTTACATTTTTTCATAATCTCTGTACTTGTTTAAAAAAGTAATTTATTATTTTTATTTATTAAATATGTTAATAATTCATCGATGAAAAAAATGAATATTATTATTTTGAAAATATTTCCAGCAAATCAAACTCATATGATACCATCCAATCAAGCGATATGTAAAATCAAAAATTTGAATAATATTTCTATACCAACAATGACTTTAAGTGTTCGAAAAAATGGAAATTATGAGCATATTGTCGGTATTCAAAAGTATAAAAATACTTTTGTCACAGTTGGTGGAATAAATGCACCAAAAAGAATTGAATGCATTGGAACCGATGGTATTACAAGAAAACAATTGGTTAAGGTAAAAATATTTCATGTTTCATAAATTAAGACACATTCATTTAATTTTTAAAATAAAAAATTGTGATTATAGTGAAAATTAGCGAAAATTAAAATTATGAAAATTATAATTATTAGAGTCGTAGAAGTAAAAAAAAAAATGAGAAAACCATAAAATTGTGTTTTTACATATTTGACTATTTTGTTTTGTAATTTAATTTTTTTTCTTTAGGGACAAGATGATATGAGACAAGACGCTGTTATGCAACAAGTATTTACTGTTATTAATTCATTATTGAACGCAAATAAGGAAACTAAAGAGAGAAAGTTAAATATAAGAACCTATAAAGTAAGTTATCTTCTTCTCTATTTTGAAAGATGTCGAATTTAAATTACATTTGACATTTATTGATTCTTTATATGCGTGATAATGAAATTTTTCTATTTCTTTTTTTTTACAGGTTGTTCCTCTTACACAACGTTCAGGAGTTTTAGAATGGTGTGAAAATACAATGCCAATATCGACTATTCTTCTTGGTCCCGATCGAAATTCGGGAATTCATAAAAAATATTATCCAAACGATCCTACTGGTTTGCAGTGCCGTCAACAAATGGAGGTAAATTTAATAAATTATAATATTATTGAACAATTCTGACAATATTTATTGGATTATTTTTCATATAAATACAAATCTATTTATTATAAAAATTTTTGTAATTTTTAGATTAATATTTATATTCATGATTTTATAATTAATATTATCATAATTATATTTATAATATTTTTCATTAAAAGTTCATTACTTTTTTTAAATTCACTAATTTTGTTACTAATTTTTTCTATTTAATTAAGTATTAAAATTTCAAATGGTTTGGAAAAATCGATTTTTTAAAAATTAATATATAATTAATTATAATTGTTAAGTTGAAAAAATAATTTTAAAAATTTCATAGTTTCCATGTCAAAATTGCAAAACTAGGATTTAAATTTTTTTTCAAATTCAAACAATGATTAGAAAAAAAATTAAGTTTGCAAAATAATTGCACTTGAATAAATTTTAATAATAATTAAATAATTCAATTTAAAAAAAAAATTTAATTAATTTAATAAAAGTATTTAAGGATTTTTCATATATAATTAAATTAAAATTGGTACTGAATTAGTACAGTGTGAATTAATTTTTATCTTTGTCTAATAATTTACTTTAGGAAAAACAAAGTTGTAACATTTTTTAAAAATTTAATTTTTTTGAATTGGAAAGAATATTATTATATTTGTTTATTCAAGTTGTTTTATTTAGATGAAAATTAAATTCTAATTAATGTTTTATCGTATTTATTTTTCATAGAGAATTAATGTTTTTCTACAATAATATTAAATAACTTTTAAATCAAGAAAGGCTATAGAAATTAAAAAATTTTGATTTTTTAAAACAGTTTCTTTTATTTTAATATATTTCACATATTTTTATGTCTTCATTTCATTTAAATAAAGAAATATTTTTTATTTTACTTTTATTATTAGGCTGTGTCTTGCGATTCAAACGAAGTGAAATTAAATACGTATCTTAAGTGTTGCAAAATGTTGCATCCAGCATTTCATCATTTCTTTACGGAAATGTATCCCTCATCAGAAGTTTGGTTTGAAAGAAGATTAACTTACACTCGAAGGTAAATTGATTTATATATATATATGTTTTACTATTTTTCCCTAATTTCTACAAAACATAGAAAAATTAATTCAAAAAAAAAGAATTTGTTTTTAAATTAATTTCTGAACAAATATGAAGAAAATTTACAATTATGTCTAATTATAAAAATGGATTCATTGTATTGCAGTACTGTTGACATGAATAATTGCTCTGAGCTTTAAAAATCTGAAGGGCTTAATTAAATAAATATAAATAATACTAAACATTAATCAGTAAGCACTAATTTTAAATTTAAATTCAAATTTTTTAATTTGTTTTCTATTTAAAATTTTTTTTTTCAAATATACTGAATATTCAATTTTAAGAAATATATATAACAAAAAATTATTTGTTTGAGGCGAAAAAAAAATTTTTCAATTTTACAATATTTGTACGAAAAATTTTTAATATTTTTTTTAAAAAATAATTTTCATCGATTTTTATAAGAAATTGTAGAAAATACTTCTTTTTCAGAAAATTTAATAAAATTTTAGAATAATAAATTAATTTTTCATGATAATTTGTTTTTTCAAAAAAATATACAATTACACATTTTTAATGAAGTTGAAACTTTTAAATGGACATTTTTATCTTTTGCTTCAAGTATTGCTACAAATTCAATTGTTGGCTACATTCTAAGCATTGGAGATCGACATTTACAAAATATATTGATTGATCAAACGACGGCAGAAGTAATACATATTGATTTTGGTAAGGAAAAATATATTAAAAATTTATTTTTTTTCTAAAGGAACAATTTACTATTAATAAAGTAATTTTTTTTTATATTCAAAAACGTTTAATTGTTTTCTTCTACAATGAAATAAAGAAAAAAATAACAATAATTATAAATTTATTTATTTTTTTTTAAAGGCATTGCTTTTGAGCAAGGAAAACTTTTATCAACACCGGAAACAGTTCCATTTCGACTTACACGAGATATTGAAGTAGCAATGGGTATATCCGGTGTTGAAGGTGTTATGAGACGTTGCTGTGAAAAAACATTAAAATTATTACAAGAACAAAAAGAAATAATTGTAACATTACTTCAAGTTTTGCTTTACGATCCTCTATTTATATGGTCAATAAGTTCAACTAAAGCTTTTAAATTTCAAAATTCAAGTTCAATGGAATCTACAAGTAGCGACACTGGTAAAATATTTGCTTTTTTTACAATTATTATTTTACATATTTTCCTTCTAAAAAATTTTTTTATATTTACTTTTTATTTTTTCTAAATACTATTATACTATTAATTATCATATTTTAATATTTTTTTTATTAAGAAATTATTATTTTATTATTTTGTTTAATATTCATCGCTGTTTTGTTCCAATTAATAAATAATTATTTTAGTAAATTTTGGAAAAAATATAAAAATTAAAAGAATGTCGTACATAAATATTTTTTTCTGTTCCAAAATACCAAAATTTATTAAAATAATTAATTTTGTTTAAAATTTTTTTTTTCCATTGTCTCGCAGGTGCTTTTGAAATAAACAAATTTGCAAACAGAGCATTACTCAGGGTACAACAAAAATTGCAAGGAGTAGAGGATGGTGTTACTTTAAGTGTCGAGGGACAAGTTGAAAGTTTAATTCAACAAGCTCGTGATCCTAGTAATTTGTGTCTACTTTTTCATGGATGGCAAGCATATTTATAATTTGATAAATTCAAAAACAACATAATATTATATAGTATATACAAAAGTTTTCACAAATGAAATGAAAATTTTTATCCTTCAACATAATATGTACGTATGTATAAAATTTTATCTTATCGTAATTATTTATTCTTAAATCGATAAAAAATATTCTTTTTTTTTTTAAATTTAGAAAATATGAGATCAATATTTTTATACACTTTGTATTAAACTTTTGAGACAAAATGCGCTTTTATACTCAATAGATTTAAAATATTAAAAATAAGAATTGTAAATATTTACATATTTTCAAATACTGTGATTTTAATAGTTGTATAATTTTTCTTTAATTGTTCACCGAGTGAATAAGTAATAAATATTTATAATAATAATAATAATAATAAAAATAAATAATAACAAACAAGATATCGATCATAATATTAATAAATAATAATTATTATTTTATATAAAATAGAATAAAAAAAACTAATTATTTCATTTTATAAAAAAAGTTTCATAATATCAAAAATGTGTTTTTTATTAGTCTATATATCTAGTTTTTATTTGTGGTTTATTTAATAATTACTAATTTGATGTATTAATGAAATTTATATTTCAAGTGTTTTTAAATTTGAAAATTTCTCAAAAAATTTTTTGCACACGTTACGGAATGTAAATTCCAATATATGAACGGCATACTGAACAATAATGATGAACTGTTTGATGAGAATTCACGCAATATGGAATTAAGCAACAGCATCTAAAATTTAGGAGAAAGTTATATTAAATTTTTTAATTCTATATTTGAAATTATAACAAAATAATTGCAAATTAATTTTGTCTTTTGTTTTTTATTAATAAGAAATCAATTTTTTAACTGACCCACTTATAAAAAGAATGATTGCTATAACATGAGCAAGTATTGAACGATTAATTTGCACAATTGTGAGAGTATAAGTTGCACATCTTGGACAAATTGCTAATGTTGGCTGTGATGATAAAAATCGACCACTACTCGCTACAAAATTTGTTCAGGTACAATATTTTAAATTTTTATGATTTTCGTTTTAATTATGTAATTACTAACTAATACTAATATTACTGCTAACTACTATTTACTTACTAATTACTTCAAAATAATAATAATAATAATAATAATAATAATAATAAAGTTTACAGGTAGTGGAAATTAAATTATCCATTGATAAGGAGTCCATAAAAATTCCTTGTGCTTGAGCATAACTAGGAGGTGGTGTGTATACTTCAAATGAAGATTGACTATCGAATGGAAGAAAAGAAAATTGAACATCATTTCGATTGGGTCGTGGTCTTACAAAAATTGATGAATAAGACGGCGGAGCTCCTCTAGAATAAGGTTGGCCAATCTAATAAAATAATATCTAATTATCTTGTATCTGATACTAACTTTGGAAATTTTATTTAATTTTTTTTTTTTTTTCTTAAATTGACAAAATTTTAGTAGACATTGATTTAATTAATCGCCTTATATTTTATTGATTATTTTTTAAAATTTCGTTCACGTATACGAATTTTATTTGAACAAAAATATCTATTTTGCTTTCTTTAAAAAAAAATAAATAAAATATTTCATTTTTTAAATTTGTAGTATTTATAAATTTCATGTAGATTTAATATTAAATGGTTAATTATAAATTAAATGTTAAATTTAAATAAAAAATAATTAAATTTCTTTTCATTTACATTTCTCTATCTCTACAGAGAAAATCAATTTTTTGTTTTATAAATATTCTGTTCTTTTATTTATTTATTTTTTTTAAAAATAATTTACACTTTTTACCTCATCTGATTCGGATGTATTGCAACATTTGCTGATCCATGATCTGTTTAAAGATCTGTAAGCCAAATTTCTTGTCAATATGAATTCTCTTGGCGGGGTTAAATTCGTAATTTCCGGTCTAATTATTTCAATGGTTGTTTCTAAATTTTGATCTCCTGTGCATATGTGATATATAAATTAAATTCATAATAATAACTTATAATACAAAAAATATTCTAAAAGTTTCGGATCTCTTGAAATAATAATAATAATAATAATAATAACAATAAATAATTAAAATAAATTCAAAATAATAATAATAGTAGGGTTTTTAAAAAAATCTAGAAAATCTAAAATACTTGTAATTCCCATACCATTATATCATCCGATCTACAATCGTCTAAAACAGGACTGATAAAAATTATGATTTTTATTAAAAAAATTCGATTTTTTCAAATTTAAATATGTTTTTTTTTTCATTTAAATCAAATTTAATAATACAATTATCAGGAAATATAATTATATTTTTATCAAAAAAAAAAAAAATTAAATATTTGAATTAAAAATAAAAACTGTCCAACAATTAATATTTTTTAAAAATTGTTGAATTTTGAAAAAATTAATAATTCCGTAATAAAGTTTGAATAACTATAAATTTTGTTTAAAGAATATATTAGAACTTATATAAAAAATTTTAAACTAAAATTATCCAAAAAATAAATGTTTTAATTTTATATTATAAAAATTATAGTACAATTTTTCAAATAAATCAATCGATTCGTTAATAAATATTCTATTAATTGGTTATAATAGTTTTGGCATAAAGATTTTTTTAAAATTTTATTTAATCTTTAATCTAATTTCAATTTAAACAATACATTTGCGAAACAATTGAAAAAAATTTCAATTTCCTGAATATAAATAAAACGGATTTTAATATTTTAACTATAATAAATTATTTGAGATTAATTTAAATTCACTAACCAATAACGACAGGAGTTTCAGAATTGGAAAAATTTGCATCATCATTTATTTTCTCTGAATGCTCCGATGATTTTGAAGAATTCATAATCTATACAACTATTTATGATTTCATATTATTACAATAAATAATATAATTATTTTATAATTTATCGTAAATAAATATTGAAAATGAGAATCCAAAATTTTTACATGTTTTTTGGTAAAAAAAATAACATTAATATGTCAAAATAAAAATCTCTAAGTTGTTTAACCTTCAAGTTTAACAATTTCTTTTTTAATAAATCATAAACTAAATCAGATGTAATTAAAAAAAAAAAAAAAAAATTACACAATTATATGTTTAGAAAAATTGTTTCTTTTTTTTCAAAACAAAATTGGTTAGTGAAAGTCATTTGAAAAAATATAATTTAGTCATGCCATATTTAACAAAATATATATAAAGAAAAATTGTCATTTTTCCTCTAAATAAAATAAGAAAGTAGTATTTTGTTTTGGTTCAGAGAATTTGAACAAAACATAAAAAAAAAAAAAAATAGTTGACATTAGCGTTTAATATGCGCTTTACTATTAACAATAAATTTCTCTACTTTCCCTTGAATTTTTCACGCCTCGAGAGAACATCTTCAAGTGTGTTTAGAATACATTTTTTGTTCAACAGACCGAAAAAATATGTCAACGGGTATTTATATTAAAGAAATTCCCAACTAATGGGATTTAGTTTTCTGTAAAACTTTAAACCGGTATGTTTCAAAAAATATTTTTTTTTAAAAAAAGAGAAAATTATTATTTTACCATTTATTCATCATTTTTCAAAGAAATAAAATGTTAAATAACAAAATTATTTTTATGTTTTATTTTATTTTTTATTCAACAATAGGAAGTGCAGAATTTAATATTCGAAATAGTCAGAGACGAAGTCAAGACAGACTATTGGATAGAAAACGGTTTTGGTCCTCTTCTAACAACAATAATAATAATGAGAGACATAATTTGAATGTATCGAAATATTCATTGGATGCAAGACTGCAGAGAACTCAGAATCAAAATTTAAAAAGAAATTCTCTCAGGGATCAAAGACGTAAGTATGTAACGAGTTATTGTAATTTTTTTAAATTTCAATTATTTATATTTTACTGTGCAATTTGTTAAAAAAAAAAAAAAAATTTTTTCCTTTTTTTAACAATTTTGAAAAAATAATAATTTTTATTTGCAGTTCTACCTTTATTTACACTCGTGAGATTTGATAATAATCTTTGTATGGGAAGCACTGGCGAAAATGGAACTTGTATTTCACCTGCAGAATGCACTCAAAGAAGAGGTGTTAGCAATGGAATTTGCGCTAATGGATACGGAGTTTGTTGCTTTGGTACGTAATACATTTTTTTCTTTATTTCGATTTTGCAAATTCCAATAATATTTTATTTATTACAATCATTAACAAAAAATAATATTGAAAAATATTGAAAACAATTTTAATTTTTCATTTTTATTAATATTAGGTAGCAAAAATATTTTTTTTTTCACGTTTAATTTTTTTTTTAATAATACGCACTCAATGATTAATAATAATAATAATAATAACCATGATTAATTTTTTATATCAACGATTGGCAAAAATTGTCACCAGTAAAGAAATTTTTTTAAAACTATTCCTTTTTCATTTTCTCTTTATGGGATAAAATTTTAATTTCCACTTAGAGGGAAATTAAAACTGAAAAATAATTTTTAATTCAAAATTCAATTACACATTTTTGAAAGTTAATTTAATTATTGTTGAAAATTAAAATTGTTTTAAGTTTGGGACTTTTTAGTTTTTACACTGAAAAAAAAATTATTTAATTCAAATAATCGGTTACTTGACTATTATTTATCAACTAAATATTTATTTGTATTAAATAATTATTACTTGAGATGGTATTTGCTGGTATTTGTTTCAAATACAGAAATTATTGGTACAAATACAATTTATTTAATTCAGATAAAAATTATTTGTTTCAAGTAAATATTTATTTGATAATAGTCGCAAGTAAATGATTATTTGAGTCAAATAAATAAATCTTCAGTATATTATAGATAATTAAAGAATTAAAATGTAATATAATATAAAAATTGCAATCAAAAATTATTATTTTTATGTACAATTTTTATTTATAAAAAAAAATTTCAGTAACTGTTACCTGTGGACAAACAACAATAGACAATAATACTTATTTTGTCAATAATAATTATCCTGCAGCATTCGATGGAACTGAGTCTTGTCAATTAACTGTCTTCAAATCTAATCCTGATGTTTGTCAATTTAGGTAAGAGGAGAAAATTTTTTTATTTAATTATTTGTTTATCTTGAACAGTTATTATTATAATTAGTTTATTTTATGTAATTTTATTTTATTATTAATTAAAGTCAAAAAATTATTATTTGATAAATTATAGAAGTCGTTTTTTTTAAATTTCTGACAACAATTGAAAGTTTTTATTTGTAACTTTTTGAAATTATTGAATTTAATAAAAAATCAAAAAAATAATTAAAAATAATTGTATTTCGTAAGAGATAGAGTTGAAATTTATTGAAATAATTGAATTTCAAAAGATTTTAAGTATTCGAAAATTTTAATTTTTTCTAGTTTTTTTTTATGGAATTTCAGACAATAATTAAATTTTACAGAATATTTGATTAAAAATATTTTAAATAGTTCAATTTTCAAAGAATTTGATTAAAATTTTTTTTGTTTGGCAATAATGTAACAATTAATTTAAGATAACATTTTATTGTGACAAAAGTTCTGAACGTTCAAATGAACGAAATATTTTTTCAATCTATAAATTATTAAAAATTATGATAACCATGTAAAATAAAATAGTAAATTAAACAATTATTAAATTAATAACTTCTTTTTAGATATTCAAAAATATTAATTAAAAAATGTTTTAAATAATTGATTTATTGAACAACTTTTATTTTTAGAATTTTTGAACAATTGAATTTTTTAATTTTCAAAAATAATTCAATGAAAAATATTTTCAGATAATTGAATTTTTGAATAATTCTATTGAAATTATTGAAAATAATTAATTTAGCGAAGAATTTTAGTTAAAAATTTGTTAAATAATTAAATTTTGGAAAAGCTGCATTGTATATTAAAAAAAAGTTGTATTTTATTTAAAAATTTTGTAAAAAAAAATTAATTATTAATTATTACCATTTTTTAGTATCAAATAATTTTTCTTTTTAAATAGAAATTTATCATTTCTTTTAGATTAGATTTTGAACAATTCAATATTCGTGGTCCAGAGACGACAAATAATCTTTGCACTTACGATCAATTTATTGTTTCTGGCGGCAATCCAGTTCCTCCAATTTGTGGAAACAATAATGGCAATCACAGTAAGTTTAAAATGTTTTTGTGGAATTTTTTTAATCTATATTCATCGTTTATAATTTATTTTGTAAATTAAATTTTTTTGATAATTTTTTTATAATTTATAAAAATGATAATATTTTTTTTTCTAATTCTCATGATCAGTGTATGTGGATGTTGGAACTGGACAAACAAATCCAGTGACACTTTCGTTTGTCACAAGTGGAAATGGATTTGAACGTATGTGGAAAGTGCGAATTGCACAAATTCCCTGCAGTACAATTTATAGAGCCGATGAGGGTTGTTTACAATATTATACTGGAGTTTCAGGACAAGTTAAATCTTTTAATTATGATCCAATAAATGGATTACAATTATCAAATCAAGATTACAGTATTTGTATTCGTATGGAGAGAAATTTTTGTGGTATTCAGTATATGACTTGTCCTGAAGGACGTAAGTAATTTTTTTTTTTTTTTTCTAAATTAGACAAATATTTATAAGGAAAAATTATTTTTAATTCAATTAAGTTTTCAATAAGTTGTATATTTTTTTTTATTAGGATATATTTTCTATTACTTTTAAATGACAAAAATTATAATATATATTGAATTTTTTTTTTATGTATTGAAAAATGAAAATAATTTTATTTATTAAAATAGTACAAATACCGGCTGGATTAATACCAAATTCACAACAAGGATTGAGAAGTAATGCATTCTCGTTAACGGGAAATACATTGAGTGGACAGCCAGTGGCAGTAGTTGGACAAAATTGTCAGACGGATTGGTTAATGATACCGTGTGCAATGAGTTCAGGAAGATTGTCCACATCGACAATAACTTGTGTCGATAGAATATGCGGCGGTGCTTTTAATACTGAATCCACGACAAATTCTTCGACTCTCATAAGTAAAGTATATTCAACAAATTTTTTATTTAAAAATAGAAAACAACTCTCATCGTCAATTGACAATTTAAAACAAAAAAAAATTACAGTTCAATAGAATTATAATTTATGGAGAAACGAATCTACAGTACGAATTTTATGAAATTCGTAATATTTTTGCAAAAAAATATTATAACCTTTGTTTGGTACACAAACAAAATACCCCACGCGTGTTCTATATTTATTTAAAGTACCTAAATCTTTTAAGTTTTTCAATTTTTTAAACATAATTATACTTTAAATAATCTACTATACACTACCGTCGGAAATTGTGCGAACGCTTACACCGCGAGTCATTGAAAAACATACTCGCGTGAAAATAAAGATAACTCTGAGAGAAATTAACGTAGAGACTTTTCCCTTATAGCGCTGGAAAGTTTATTAAATTTTGAAAAAAATGATACCTATTTGAATGAGATTGCTTAAATAGGTTTAAATATGTCATGTTACAAAGTTGCAAAAATAATTGTAATTTTTTGCTTATTTCCTACCTTGACTTTAACCTCTTGCATGGTCCAGGAAAATCGACGAAAAAAATTTTCCTTTAACATAATTATTCCTTGAAATCTAAGCTTTCCATTGATTCCAAGAACAATAAAAAATGTTGACGGGTTTGCCAGTAATTGAAAGAAAGGACGAGCGTGCACGAAAAAAAATTCGACCGTCAATCGCTCGATTTTCCCGTCTCGCTGCCTCTTTCGTTTGTGCGCCAGGGCTGAAACAGAGGATTTTGATTAGGCGCTTTCCGGGCACCATTAATTTCATTATTTTTGCCTTTTCGTGAACATAAATTATTTGTATAACGCAAAAGATATCATAATTGTGTTATAAGTTAATTATACAGTTATTAAAATTAAATAAATGTAATAAAACTTATATATTTCATTATTAAAAAATTCAATTTGACCAACGAGGTTTTTGATTCTTAATAATAAATTGTTTAATGATTATAAATATATTTTAATTTTTACAAAATTTTAATTGTATAATTATTTTATTTATGATTGATTAAAAAATTAATATCTCTATGTATGTGAAATATTTTAATAATGAAATATATAAGTTTTATTACATTTATTTAATTTTAATAACTGTATAATTAACTTATAACACAATTATGATATCTTTCGTGTTATACAAATAATAATTTATGTTCACAAAAAGGCAAAAATAATGAAATTAATGGTGCCCGGAAAGCGCCTAATCAAAATCCTCTGTTTCGGCCCTGGCGCACGAACGAAAGAGCCAGCGAGACGGGAAAATCGAGCGATTGACGGTCGAATTTTTTTTCGTGCACGCTCGTCCTTTTTTTCAATTACTGGCAAACCCGTCAACATTTTTTATTGTTCTTGGAATTAATGGAAAGCTTAGATTTCAAGGAATAATTATGTTAAAGGACAATTTTTTTCGTCGATTTTCCTGGACCATGCAAGAGGTTAAAGTCAAGGTAGGAAATAAGCAAAAAATTACAATTATTTTTGCAACTTTGTAACATGATATATTTAAACCTATTTAAGCAATCTCATTCAAATAGGTATCATTTTTTTCAAAATTTAATAAACTTTCCAACGCTATAAGGGAAAAGTCTCTACGTTAATTTCTCTCAGAGTTATCTTTATTTTCACGCAAGTATGTTTTTCAATGACTCGCGGTGTAAGCGTTCGCACAATTTCCGACGGTAGTGTATATAATAAATAGAGTAGGTAATATAATTTGTAAATAAATTTGCAATTAATTCTCATCAATAAATTACAGGTACAGTAAAACCATTTCGATTAGTTTTTCACACGGATGGAACAGAAGCTCCAAATGATATGGGTAACAAAGGTTTCTGCTTGAATTTTGTGCAACAACCATGTACTATGAAATTATAATGAATGATGCTAAATAAATATTTTAATTTTTTTCTAATTGATAAAAAGATACAAAATATCATTTGACGTTGCAATTCTCAGTTTATCATACATTAGTTATTTTCTTGATTGAATGGAATTTAGATCTATTCTTGTGAATTCATTACTTAAATGGTGATAATTACACCAAATATTTTTTCAAAAATTTTAAACTACTAGGTAATAAAAAATTATGCTTAGTACTTTTTTCCAGTCTGTCAGTCCGATATTCTTTTTATGTTTTTCTATATAATGATTTTAAATTATGTAATAACAACTGTTGTATATATTTTTTATTATTCTACACTGAAAAGTCTATTAGACCTTAATTGGTCAGTCTGTTGATAATTTCTAATTATATAACTAATAAAAAGTGAATTTTCCTAAAATTAGAGTATTTTTTAGATTTATATCAGATACTGAGGTGAAAAATTTCGAAATTCAGTTAAATATAGTATAAATTTATTTGCAATCTAGAACTTGAAATTTATGCAACCTCATAAACTTTATAACTGCGTTCACATAATTAACAATTCAAAAGAAAGTACACAGTTAGTTTTTATAATTATAAAGCAACAATAAATAATTAGAGCAATCACTAAATACTTTCAGGCAATTTTTTTTATAAATTATTTTACAGGATTATCACAAAAACTGTTTATGTGATTTTTCCCTGATTTTCAATCAGAATTAAAATTTTTTCCCTAACGATAATGAAAATATTTCAAGAGGTTTTCAATTATAGAAAATTAAGACAATAATTTTTAGAAATTTAATATTTTTCCAGTACAGTGGGACCTCGATTAACTGAAATAACCTAGGTAGGGCCGGGTTCGGATAATCGAAATTTCAATACTTAATTCTAAAATTCGTTTTGCATTACATAAAAGTCGGTAAGTGTGTTTTCTATTATAATGACAATCAGACATATTTTTGTGTATCGAAAATAATTCGCTCATGATTTTATTTAGAAGTAAACTTAAATAAAGATAAATAATAATAATATTTTCCCTAAAGAAGATAAAAAAATAAATCCAATAATTCATAAAATAATAATATTAAAATCAATTTTCCTTCCTATAATAATAGCCAACCAAACAAATAAATAAATTAAATTTGCTAGGTAATGACTCGGGAATAATGCCAAAAAATTGAGCAAAAAGTCTCGAACAAAAAATGTATGCCGCACTTTTTGATTGGTCCAGCGGATGCTGAGCTACACTTAAAAAAATCGGGAGAGAAATTTTCGAAAAATAAAATTTTCGAGATAATGACTCGGGAATATCGCCAAAAAAATAGTCAAAAAGTTCCGAACAAAAAATGTATGGCGTACTTTTTAATTGGTCCAGCGGATGCTGAGCTACATTAGAAAGAAAATTTGGAAAAATTTTCAAAAAATTAAATTTGCGAGATAATCGGTCCGTAATACCGCCAATAAAATAAGGGAAAAGTTTCGAACAAAAAATGTATTGCGCACTTTTTGATTGGTCTAACAGATGCTGAGCTACAGTAGAGAACAATAATTTTCTGAATTCTTCGCATATTTATTGTATACATAACCAACAGCATGAATCTTATATTAATAATTGTAAAAAACAATCTGACAAAAAATTCAATTTTTTAAAATTTGACAAATTTAATATTGACATTTATAATCCTTTTAACTCACAGACAAATTTGTTTCTAAACCTTTTAAATACTGAAATTCCTGCGAATGTCTCCAATTTTATATCGTTCGGCAATAATTTTAACTTTAACATTGACAATAAAAATAAACATATGAACACAACAATTGAGTATGTAAAATCAATAGAATATTTTATTATATTTTATGATTTAAACAATGAAATTTCTGATAATATAAGAAATAAACTTATTAATAATTTTCGTTCCTTTGATTACAGTTTAAAAAAACCATGTTATATTAAAATAAATGATAGAATCAGAGTATGTAAAAAAAACTTGAAAATTTATTATCTGATAAAAAAACATACAAAACTATTAAGAAAAATCCATTACAAAGTTTAAAAATAAATACTTATAGAAAATTAAAATATTTAAATGATAATAGTATTTTAAACAGAAAATATAATGACATTGAACTGACACAAACCAATACGACACTATCAAAAATTTATGGCCTACTTAAAATTCATAAAAAATGTAATCCATTACGACCTGCTGTTTCTACTATTAATACATTAACTGCCTTTCTATCTAAACAACTATTTGAATTGCTTGACAAATCTATAGGCAAACCTAAATCTTACATACGCAATACAAACATGCAAAAAACATCGAATTAGTCAAAGAAGTTTTACCAAAAAAAACCCCTTAGAATTTATAAATAAATATACAATTTCCTATACAGGATCAGAAACTGAACTTGTACAAGTTCTGACCAGTTCCTGTACAGGCAAATGTATACGAATTTGGAACAAGTTCATGTGTTAGATCTTGTACAAGATCTGGTGCAAGATCTTGTACAAGAAAGATTTTTTTTTAAATAAAATTCAAAAAAAAAATCATAAAAATCTTCCCAAAAAAATTCAATTTTTCTTAGGCAGACGATTTTGAAGCATTTTCTTGCACAAAATACACATAAAAGTGTAGAAAAAAATTGACAGCTCGATCCGAGTAGAGGAAGACACCTATTACCACCTAAAAGTCATCCAACCCATAAATCCAAAATTATAAAAAATTTCCCAAAAAAATTTAATTTTTCTTAGGCAGACGATTTTAATGCATTTTCTTCCACAAAATACACATAAAAGTGTAGAAATCAATTGACAGCCAGATCCGAGTAGAGGAAGACACCTATTACCACCAAAAAGTCATCCAACACATAAATCCAAAATTATAAAAAAGTTCGCAAAAAATTTAATTTTTCTTAGGCAGACGATTTTAATGCATTTTCTTGCACAAAATACACATAAAAGTGTAGAAAACAATTGACAGCCAGATCCGAGTAGAGGAAGACACCTATTACCACCTAAAAGTCATCCAACCCATAAATCCAAAATTATAAAAAAGTTCCCAAAAAAATTTAATTTTTCTAAGGCAGACGATTTTAATGCATTTTCTTGCACAAAATACACATAAAAGTGTAGAAATCAATTGACAGCCAGATCCGAGTAGAGGAAGACACCTATTACCACCAAAAAGTCATCCAACCCATAAATCCAAAATTATAAAAAAGTTCGCAAAAAAATTTAATTTTTCTTAGGCAGACGATTTTAATGCATTTTCTTGCACAAAATACACATAAAAGTGTAGAAAAAAATTGACCGACAAACACGAGTAGAGGAAGACACCTATTACCACCTAAAAGTCATCCAACCCATAAATCCAAAATTATAAAAAAGTTCCCAAAAAAATTTCATTTTTCTTAGGCAGACGATTTTAATGCATTTTCTTGCACAAAATACACATAAAAGTGTAGAAAACAATTGACAGCTCGATCCGAGTAGAGGAAGACACCTATTACCACCAAAAAGTTATCCAACACATAAATCCAAAATTATAAAAAAGTTCGCAAAAAAATTTAATTTTTCTTAGGCAGACGATTTTAATGCATTTTCTTGCACAAAATACACATAAAAGTGTAGAAAAAAATTGACAGCCAGATCCGAGTAGAGGAAGACACCTATTACCAACTAAAAGTCATCCAACACATAAAACCAAAATTATAAAAAAGTTCGCAAAAAAATTTAATTTTTCTTAGGCAGACGATTTTAATGCATTTTCTTGCACAAAATACACATAAAAGTGTAGAAAAAAATTGACAGACAAATACGAGTAGAGGAAGACACCTATTACCAACTAAAAGTCATCCAACACATATATCCAAAATTATAAAAAAGTTCGCAAAAAAATTTAATTTTTCTTAGGCAGACGATTTTAATGCATTTTCTTGCACAAAATACACATAAAAGTGTAGAAAAAAATTGACAGACAAATACGAGTAGAGGAAGACACCTATTACCACCAAAAAGTCATCCAACCCATAAATCCAAAATTATAAAAAAGTTCGCAAAAAAATTTAATTTTTCTTAGGCAGACGATTTTAATGCATTTTCTTGCACAAAATACACATAAAACTGTAGAAAACAATTGACAGCTCGATCCGAGTAGAGGAAGACACCTATTACCACCAAAAAGTTATCCAACACATAAATCCAAAATTATAAAAAAGTTCGCAAAAAAATTTAATTTTTCTTAGGCAGACGATTTTAATGCATTTTCTTGCACAAAATACACATAAAAGTGTAGAAAAAAATTGACAGACAAATACGAGTAGAGGAAGGCACCTATTACCACCAAAAAGTCATCCAACCCATAAATCCAAAATTATAAAAAAGTTCCCAAAAAAATTTCATTTTTCTTAGGCAGACGATTTTAATGCATTTTCTTGCACAAAATACACATAAAAGTGTAGAAAACAATTGACAGCTCGATCCGAGTAGAGGAAGACACCTATTACCACCAAAAAGTTATCCAACACATAAATCCAAAATTATAAAAAAGTTCGCAAAAAAATTTAATTTTTCTTAGGCAGACGATTTTAATGCATTTTCTTGCACAAAATACACATAAAAGTGTAGAAAAAAATTGACAGACAAATACGAGTAGAGGAAGGCACCTATTACCACCAAAAAGTCATCCAACACATAAATCCAAAATTATAAAAAAGTTCGCAAAAAAATTTAATTTTTCTTAGGCAGACGATTTTAATGCATTTTCTTGCACAAAATACACATAAAACTGTAGAAAAAAATTGACAGACAAATACGAGTAGAGGAAGACACCTATTACCACCTAAAAGTCATCCAACCCATAAATCCAAAATTATAAAAAAGTTCCCAAAAAAATTTCATTTTTCTTAGGCAGACGATTTTAATGCATTTTCTTGCACAAAATACACATAAAAGTGTAGAAAACAATTGACAGCTCGATCCGAGTAGAGGAAGACACCTATTACCACCAAAAAGTTATCCAACACATAAATCCAAAATTATAAAAAAGTTCGCAAAAAAATTTAATTTTTCTTAGGCAGACGATTTTAATGCATTTTCTTGCACAAAATACACATAAAAGTGTAGAAAAAAATTGACAGCCAGATCCGAGTAGAGGAAGACACCTATTACCAACTAAAAGTCATCCAACACATATAACCAAAATTATAAAAAAGTTCGCAAAAAAATTTAATTTT